GAAATGGTTAATATCCCCACCCCAAAACTATATATACAATTGTTGGGCATAAAGAGACGAATGCAGTCATGATATTAGAATTGATCCCAGGGTCTGCCCCACCCTTGCAGACTTGGCCCCTGGGTCATAACTTTGAAACGGTTGAGATCCCCACCTCAAAACTATATATATACAAATGCTTGGCAAAAAGAGACAAATGCAGTCACGATATTAGAATCGATCCTGGGGTCTGGCCACAACTCTAGGGACCTAGTTTCTGAGTCAAAGCTTGGAAACAGTTGAGATCCCCACCTCATAACCATGCATAAAATTGCTGGGCATGAAAAATCTAATATAGCTTTGCTACAAGGATTGGCCATGGGGTCTGGTATATTCCCTTGATCTCATTTGGAGAATAGTTTGCCATGATTGCTTAGGTATCCAGGTGAGCAATACAGGTCCTCTGGGCCTCTTGTTTAATTACATGATGCAACAAATTTTTGTTTTGTTTTTGTGAGATGACAGAAGTATAAACAATCAAGTATGCATTGAATAATTTAAATAATGTTACAAAAAGAAAAATTATGATGTAGATGTAGTTAAGTGATGTTTAAATGTTTTAGAGCCAACTGTCAGTCTGCTGATCTGGTGCTGTGTATTTGTCACGAAAGTGGACAGGTGCGCCAACTTCAGTGGTGTCCTTACCTCTGTTGTGACTACCTCGATCAGGTAAGACAGATCTCTAGGGTACAGTGGTGTCCTTACCTCTGATGTGACTCCCCAGATCAGGGAAGACAGATCTCTAGGGTACAGTTGTGTCCTTACTTCTGTTGTGACTCCCCAGATCTGGTAAGACAGATCTCTAGGATACAGTGGTGTCCTTACCTCCGTTGTGACTCCCCAGATCAGCTAAGACAGATCTCAGTTTTTCTCACAGGTGGGGATTATATGGATTGTTAACAATGCTTTTTTTTGTTACTATAATAGAATAGTTTGCCATGATTGCTTAGGTATCCAGGTGAGCAATACAGGTCCTCTGGGCCTCTTGTTTAATTACATGATGCAACAAATTTTTGTTTTGTTTTTGTGAGATGACAGAAGTATAAACAATCAAGTATGCATTGAATAATTTAAATAATGTTACAAAAAGAAAAATTATGATGTAGATGTAGTTAAGTGATGTTTAAATGTTTTAGAGCCAACTGTCAGTCTGCTGATCTGGTGCTGTGTATTTGTCACGAAAGTGGACAGGTGCGCCAACTTCAGTGGTGTCCTTACCTCTGCTGTGACTCCCCAGATCAGGAAAGACAGATCTCTAAGGTACATTGGTGTCCTTACCTCTGCTGTGACTCCCCAGATCAGGTACGACAGATCTCTAGGGTACATTGGTGTCCTTACCTCTGCTGTGACTCCCCAGATCATGTAAGACAGATCTCTAGGGGACAGTGGTGTCCTTACCTCTGATGTGACTCCCCAGATCAGGTAAGACGGGTTTCTAGGGTACAGTGGTGTCCGTACCTCTGTTGTGACTCCCAGATCAGGGAAGACAGATCTCTAGGGTACAGTTGTGTCCTTACTTCTGTTGTGACTCCCCGGATCAGATAAGACAGATCTCTAGGGTACATTGGTGTCCTTACCTCTGTTTTGACTCCCCAGATCAGGAAAGACAGATCTCTAGGGTACAGTTGTGTCCTTACTTCTGTTGTGACTCCCCGGATCAGATAAGACAGATCTCTAGTGTACAGTGGTCTCCATACCTCTGTTGTGACTCCCCAGATCAGGTACGACAGATCTCTAGGGTACAGTTGTGTCCTTACTTCTGTTGTGACTCCCCAGATCTGGTAAGACAGATCTCTAGGGATCAGTGGTGTCCTTACCTCTGATGTGACTCCCCAGATCTGGTAAGACAGATCTCTAGGATACAGTGGTGTCCTTACCTCCGTTGTGACTCCCCAGATCAGATAAGGGAGATCTCTAGGGTACAGTGGTGTCCGTACCTCTGTTGTGACTCCCGAGATCAGGTAAGACAGATCCCTAGGGTACAGTGGGGTCCTTACCTCTGTTGTGACTCCCAGATCAGGGAAGACAGATCTCTAGGGTACAGTGGAGTCCTTACTTCTGTTGTGACTCCCCGGATCAGATAAGACAGATCTCTAGGGTACATTGGTGTCCTTACCTCTGTTGTGACTCCCCAGATCAGGTAAGACAGATCTCAGTTTTTCTCACAGGTGGGGATTATATGGATTGTTAACAATGCTTTGTTTTGTTACTATAATAACTGAATGATTTAAAATGAGGGGAGGGTTTAATTATATATTTTACTTACTAGAATGATAATTATTGTTTTGTGTAATTCTGGTGATTATTTTGCTTTAATATCAAGTCGATCATTCTAGGTGTTAATTTGGTTTTACCTTTTATTTGACAGGCCTCGGAGACCGTTCCCCAGCTAGGATTGCTGGCCGCAGCTTGCTCTGATGGCAATCTTCAGATATACAGGTATGTCATATAACAGAAGGGGCCGCGGTAGACGAGCAGTTAAAGCGTCTGACATTCTGCTACCACTAGCCCTCCACCACTGGGTTGTGGGTTCGAGGCCTAAGTGGGGTAGTCGCCAGGTACTGGCTGTAGGTCGGTGGTTTTTCTCCGGGAAATCCAGCTTTCCTCCACCACCAAAACCTGGCACGTCCTTAAATGATCATAGTTGTTAAAAGAACGTAAAATACAAACAAACAAACCAAATCATATGACAGGTCTAGTGGCTGGACCTATCTCTCTCAGCTCTTAAGTTTCAAATGCATTGTCACTGATATCAACATGTGACATAATACGAATCAAGACTTTATCCTGGAATTAATGTGTTCATGATTTCAGTGGTCGTTGCAGATCTAACACAGCATTTTTACTGATTTGCCAAAATTATTCATTTAAGAAAAGCTTGATGTTTGTAAAAATTTACAGAGAACCAATGAATCCAGGGCAGATATTATTCTAAAGAAATAATTGTAAACAAAAATATTTCATGTAATTGAAACATTTCAGCTAATTTATTAATACTGATATGCATAAAATCCTATTGGGACCATCACAGCATTATAGTGTAATAGTTTAATGAAATTATAGTAACAAGTTTTAGTTTATTTGTTGAGCACTTTAGTTAAAAGGTTACTGGTTTTCCCTCTTTTGCAGTATTCCTCATCCAAACACACTCATTGACACATCAGAAGAATCCACAGGTCAAACTGAAGGGTCAGGGTCAAAGGTCAAAGAACGAGGGACAAAAATGTCAGGACAAAGGTCAAAAAAGGAAAGTTCAGACTCAAAAAATGTGGATCAGTTGTTAAATGAGAAAGGTCAAAGTTCAAATGGATTAGGTCAGGGTTCAAAGGAGACAGGTCAGAGGTCAAGAGAGCCTGCATATTACCATGTCAAGCCAGCACTTACACTACAGCCTAGGTTTTGTGGAGGTGAGTTTGCATCATCGTACTTTAACTCATACACCCCTACATATTTAAACTGGATTTACCTGGTCTTTGATTTGGTAAGGTTCAAATGTGACTTAAGAGATGAATGGGTTAAAGTTTCTGTCATATTAAGTGGCAGCTTGTCCGTCCTGACCTATAATTCAGCAATTGGTGCTGTCTCGTACCATCTTGAAAAGTTTGCTTTTAACATTAACATTATTCTGAATGTTCAATAAATCCTGTCTAATATGATGCCTTAGCATACTTGCGATCTCATTTTCTTTATCTATGCTACCAAACAAGACGTCTATATTCTGATATCCTGTCCCTTCTGGCCTTATGTTGTATACAGTGAATACCACAGGGTGTCTGATTAGGCAGGTTAATCTGGCTAACATAGTCTGTCTTACACAGTATCTGACCATACAGGTATCACTCTACTAAATAAATGTTAATCGCTTAATTTTTATGAATACTTATTTTTACAATTGTTCTTCCCATTTATATGTATTCAAGAGGACAATCTGTTTACTGTAAAATCATAAATTTTCGTGGGACATTAAATTTTGTTTATTTCGTGGATAAAATTAAAACCCCACAAAAACATAAAACAGGTTTAGTATATGAAAACCACGAAATTTTAACCCCACAAAAATAAATGATTCCACAGTATGTTTCTTGTTCAAATATGTCGGTATATGTTTATGAAATATAAGTGAATATTATAAAACTTGTTACTGTACGTGAACAGCACTTTAAAATGTAGGTAATTGTGGGATTATCATTTATTATTGATTGATTGGCTCCTTCACTGATTTGTGGCGGTTTGGAGTATGAGTACAGCTCTAGTCTAAATTGGTTCTGTCATCTCATTGTAGAGAAAGCTTCACCCTGCTTGTGTGTTGCTTGGCATCCCGACCCTGAATATCCTTGGATCATGGGTGGATTTGCGGATGGTAAGTTCCTGGGTATTGATATTTTAAGAATTGCAATTAATACATATACATGAACATGTATCTAATTGCAACACCCTCAACTTTGATTCTCTCATTTAAAAAATAAATCTCTTGCCTTGAAATAAATCAATCTGTGTTTCTAGTAATATCTATTATGAATTTTTTTTATGAATAATAATAATTCTTAAGTTATTTTAGATCTTAAATAAACAATTTCATATGAAAACTGGCATCACAATTGGTTTTCAAAGCCAACAAGAAAAAACATATGTTATTTTTTTTGTTGATAAATAAAAGGAAAATGTTTCAAGACTTCCAAAACTCTGTGTTTCATTTCTAATTCAGCATACTTAGGGGGGAAAATGCATATGGTGTTGAGATGATCTTTATCAACAACTTTCTATAAATATTGCTTAATTCAACTTTCAAAAATGTCACATTTGAGATTGAAATAATTACTTTTTAACTTGATCACCCCTGAAGACACATTTGAACTCCTCCAGTTCAAGGGTTGGAATAGCTCATTATTAAATTTCAGGGGTGAATGAGTTAATGAGGATTTCACTCTATGTCTAGAGTGTACCACAATAAAGAGTTCTGGTAATGCAAAAGTAACTTTTGTATCCCGAATATTTTCGAAGGAAAAATGTACTCAATTTAAAAAGAAATTGTTGTCAGAATGCTATCAAACTTAATCATATATCATATGGACCACAGACATTTAAGACTTTCATCAAATCAACCATAAATTATGAAATTTCTACTTATTTCCACCACTAGTAACAGCCTGTTTATGGTTTATGGCATATCTGTTAGGACGTGTAGCAGTTTGCAAAGCTAAAACACCAAGCCTATACATACATAAAGTTTTCGTAACATATTGCGATACAGTGATATTCCTTTTCTGTATTGGGATTCAATATGATATACCTGTGTATGACAATATAACGGTTTTCTGATATATTGTGACAGTCCTACTATTTAAAAACAAATTTGTTGTTAATATATTTGTCTTTGGTTTCACTTTCAGCTGTTGTAAATATGTTTGTCTTTGGTTTCATTTTCAGGTGTGATGCGAGTTTGGAATCTAACATCTACCTCACCTCTTCTGAGGATTTCAACACAAGAAGGCAGCAACCATCTTTATCCTTTCAAATCCTTCCAGGCACACAGACGAGCTGTTTATGCATGTTCCTGGTCCCCTCATGTGCCTCACTGTTTTGTTACTTCAGGTAATGTTAAAAAGTTTCTGATTGGTTAACACAACAGCTGCTTATTTTGTTAAACATTTTCTGATTGGTTAACACAACAGCTGTTTGTTTTGTTAAACATTTTCTGATTGGTTAACACAACAGCTGTTTATTTTGTTAAACATTTTCTGATTGGTTGACACAAAAGCTGCTTTTTTTGTCAATTTTTTTTTTTTGATTGGTTGACACAACAGCTACTCATTTTATTCAACACATATATGATTGGTTGACAGAACAACTGCTTATTTTATCAAACATTATAAGATAAAGGTTATTACATTTTAGTTGGTGAATCTTCCAATTACGATGTCGAGTAACAATGTTTTGCAATGTGACGTTCCATTGTGACATCCTGATTAATTCATGGTGATTCCCATATCGGAAACAGACGTTATGTATTTTCAAGGACAATATGTGGCTTTCCAGATAAATATGAACATAGTAGGGTAAAAAAATCCCCAAATTTGTGATAGTTGGTTATCAGGTTTTTCCCAGTAGTCAATTTTCAAATTGTAAAATATACTCAGTAAAACTTGTCTTTTAACAGTTTGAAAATGAACGAATTTAAGTTTAGATAAATATGATAATAAGTCAGCACTCTGAAGGGAACCTCTATATCCCTGACCTTGTTTTAGTGATCTGTTTGTCATATATGTATTTATACAGTAATATACAGTGTGTATCTCTGGTTGGGTACAGGTTCTGACAAGGAGGTGTACGTCTGGGACCTTCGGAACATTTCAGCGTTGGTCCACTTGGACAAGTATTGTACCGGTATAGGTGTGTCCAACGCCTGGCCCTCCAACCTCCTAGGTCTGCTGTACAGCATGGATGACGCCTACATGTAAGTCAGTGGAGATAACTATAAATACAAGGGCATATAACTCTGTATAGGACCCTAGGGGTACTTTGGTTTATAACAATCCAAACGGTTGAACCAGTTGGACCAGAGTTGATTGTTTATGAAATAAGGTCGGACCTAGCAATCTGATGCTGCTTTCAGGCGAGCCTTGACAAAGCCATGCAATGCCTGCAGGTCTGCCAAGATTTAAACATGAAAACAAACAAACCAGTTGTTCGGCATAAACAAACAGGCCCTAGGTTTGCTGTACAGCGTAAATGATGCTTACATGTAAGTCAGGGGAGATAACTATAACTACCAGGGCAGATAATCATGCAAGTGGAACAGGGAGCCAACACTTTACACTCTTGACACCAAGTAATTGTGGGCTCATTACAAGACAGTCAAATAGCATTTGTTGACATTTCTACTGAAATTCAATAGATATACATGTAGGTGGGTTTTATTACCAGACATGTCAAACAAATATAGCATATAAGGGAGGGAATGATAACTGAGTTCAAGAGGAGAAAGTGTCCTGAGAATCTGTTACAGTTTATGTTTAATTGTAACTAACACAGGGTTACCTTTGTAGGTATAAGCACTGCTACCTGAAGATGTTACCGTACGGATCGACACTGCCTTCTACACGTATCAAGGGAGTCCCTCTGTCTCACATGCATTCCACCATGTGGGTAGGTACATCTATACACTATTGCTTCTACATAAGACAGTTAAAGATGTATGCTACGTTACACATTTAAAGTGTGATCTCCCTTTGTTTTTTTCATTATTGCTTCTACATAAGACAGTTAAAAATGTATGCTACCTTAAACATTTACAGTGTTATCTCCCTTTAATTTTTTATTATTGCTTCTACATAAGACAGTTAAAGATGTATGCTACCTTAAACATTTACAGTGTTATCTCCCTTTGCTTTTTTATTATTGCTTCTGCATAATATAATTAAAGATGTAGGCTAGTTTGATCATTTACATTGTTATCTCGCTTTGTTTTTTTCCCTCCACCATCTGGGTATGTTTTCACGTGCTAAAATCCTGTGCTAAAATTCTTTGTTCATTCGATCAAATGATCTACCCGACTTTGTGAGGACAATATCAAAATCAGCTGTATACATTTTTGATCAACATTTACTATAAGGTGCACCATTCACTGTTTCTTTGACTTTATATAAATCCAATAGGTAATGGAAAATAAGAATCTTACTTAGATCTGATGAAGATTGAGTGATGGTAGTAGCCAAGGTCCTTATGGGATCTCTTTTACTATTACATTAGTGTAAAAGATGTGCATTGATTATCTTGCCTTACAAGCGTCAGCTGTAGGGAATTTTCCTTTAGCTCAGCTGTAGAGCATTTGGCTGGAGAGCAAAGGGTCGTGAGTTTGAGCCCCAGCGCCAGCACTATCTTTATCACTATTCCTCGTCCTACTACATTAGCCAACCATAATCAGATGGTCCGCTGTCAAAATTGTCTGTCGGCCATGGTCCATTGTTCAACCTAAAACTATTCTTGATATCTCTATTTCTGAAGACATACTGGACTCATCTTTCTCACATTTTGATATGTAAATTTGTTGTGGAATTTGAAGGCATGCGGCTAGCTATTTGATTGACCTCAGGTAAAAATCCCGACCAATCGCTAGGCTGATACCCGCCTTTGAAGATTACAGAGGACCGACATCCAACTTCAAAGCCAATCAATTGTAGCTTTAGTGACCAACAGATTCCTTTGATGAACATCAAAAGATCAAACTAGTCTTCCTGTGTCATCAAGGTGGCCCACACTGAGCTTTCGATACTCATGATAATCATCGAGGAAGATCTAATTACTGCAAAAGAAACTGTGGTTACACTTCTTTTTGTTGCTTTATAATTGCAGTCCTTGACCTACTCGGAGTGGCTCAGTCTTGCTGTGATCGTGGACGACGTTGGAAGTGCTGTCTGCCTCCAGTTCCCCTCCTTTAACATGGAGACAGGGCATGTCTCCCGCAAGTTCAGTCTGGTAGGTAGTGCCCAAAATGGGGGGAAATTAATAATGTATATAGCCTTTGTCAAATGGCTTTTATCATTGGTTCAGCATTTATCAGTGAGTCTCTCAGTTCTTCCTTCAGTCACTCATTTACTCAATCAGTCAGCAAAGAAATTTTGATACTGCTATTCCTCAGAAATCACAAAATGGACTGTGATAAAATTTGGTGTGTTCATCCCTAGTTGTTGCAAGCTCCCCAACCCTTGCTGAATGTTTTGAGTCGGATTTATTTTTCTTAACTCATTCTACCCTGAAGACACATTTGAACTCTTCCAATTGAAAGGTTGGAATAGTTCATTATGAAACTTCAGGGGTGAAAGAGTTAAATTTATATCTGTGATATAAAGTGGGTTGTTCTAGTGAGATGCAAATCTGGTGAGTTGGCAGACACCAAATTTATAATGTAACTTTCATTATTGACAATTAATAATGTTTTTGTGTACATTTAACATTGCTGACTTGACTGTACTGTTAGGCACTAGGTATCAATAGAGGTAGGAATGTCCTAACATTTCAATTTAACAAATATTTTTACTCAATTTTAGGATAAAAAATGTTTTGCCAGCCAAACTTTTCCGCTATTGTATATGGTAATTTAGTCTTATAATCCATTTTATTTTTGTTAACAGGAAATATTCACTTCTTCCTTGATACCAAGAAAAGTTGAAGATAATGATAAAGACAGTTCAACTGAAATAGTGGAAACAAAACAAGAACAAACTGTAAAACTGAAAAAGAAAAAGGATTCTGAAAACGATGTAAAAACTGAACCCAGCTATAAAACTTACAAGGAAGCTGTAGAGAGCGTGACGTTAGAATTCAAGGATGGAAAAGTAAGTTACGAAAATGTTCTTGTTACACAACCAATAAGTGTTTCTATGTGACGTTTCGATGACTAGTGCATGCGATATGTACACTGTCGCCTTCATCAGACAAATGACCAGTGAAGCGTATGTACACAAAGGTGTAGAATGTGAACGAGTTGTCCACAAATCGATGTGGATTCGGTTACGCTGTAATTATAAGAATATGTACAAAAAGTCAAGGAAATGTAAGTTGTATTTACAGGTCATGATTTTAAAATCATCAGATTTGTCAATTTTCTTTTTTGATACCGGGCTGTATGCAGGAGTATTAGTATTTCCAAGAGAATAAAAAAGGACATGGAAACTTGCTTAGAAATGGGCATTTTATCAAATGGTGAATGATGCTCAGAGGGGCGTTTGTCATGTGGCAAAGGTCAAAGGTTAACGACCAGTCATCACAGTATACCTTATCTGTCCATCTGTTGTTCCCATTGTTCTTGTCCAGGCTGTTCTTTCTAAAAAGCTTAATAGTGTTTGCTGAAAGTGCATAGATACAAAATAAATGTAGGTATTTGGACAAGTTGTCTTAAATTTAATATCTGTTTGTATCTACACAGTCAAGGTCACAGCAGAGGGTCAAGGTTAAGTTATCATAATTCTTGATTGGGTAATAATTTCTGACGTCAGAGTTTCTTTGTCACCAGAAATAGTTTTGATGAAACTTCATAGATGTCCGTCCGTGTGTGGACAGTATATAACATACCAATGTCATGTCCATAACATTAAGGTCAAGGTTTCAAAAAGAGGTCAGAGTTCAAACCATGGTAAACTGGACAAAAAGAAAACTGAACAATTGAGACAACCTTTATCCTGAACATCCATTTTTTTTTTTTTAAGAAACTTTATCGTTGGATGAATAATGACCTAATGGTACTAACCCACTGTTCTTGTGTCTGTACTGTCATGATTAATGTCAAGGCAAGGGGTTAAAGTTCAAATAATTCTAATCTTTTTCCAAGCAGTGACTCAGAACAACTGAATGGATTGTGATGCAACTTCATATACATGTATATATAGATGATTATCACAACTAGACAAGTATTACTTCTGCATGCTATATCCATTAAAATGTTATTAATTTTCTATTAAAACTGTATTAAATTCAAGAAGTCCATTAAAAGATACAGTGAAACTCTGTTTATAAATGTACGACTCTGAAAGTTTTTTATTTTTATTTTACAAAAGAATCCCTTTTTCAGTAAAATGATATATAATGAAAGTGTTAATTTCAATCTATATAAAATTAAAACATTCAACTTTTCGTTGTTAGTATACCAGTATCAGTTTCTGAATTCTTTCCACGCTGTCAAAGAAGAGATCTTTTGTTTAACTTATAAGTATTCTCTCTTCACAAAGTAATGATTTGTGATCATATATATTTTTCAGGAATCATCGTACAAAGACACAATGCATAAAGATCAGAATCTACTCTCCATACCTCTGATGGCGGTTCACAGGGTAAGGTTATATCAGAATTCATATCAATTTCTCCCACCCTTCACAGGTGTGTCCCCCTTTTAGCCAAGAGAGATTGGCCTGTCCGCCCGTAGGGGGAGATAGCCTCGTGCAGAATAGCACACACTAAAATGAGGAGGCAGGGTAGTCTAGTGGTAGGATGCCGGGTTCGTGACCGAAGGGGTGCGGGTTCGAGTCACGCCACGGCACGGTGTTGTATCTTTGAGCAAGATACTTTACTCTGTGAGCTCTGAAATGGCAGCTCCCGCTGTATGCTCCCCTGGGAGTTGAGAAAGGTATTGGCTGGTTGCAAAGGCCCTATAACCACGGATAATAATTTGTGAACCGCTTTGAGACGACCTACGAACTAGGTTGTGATAAATGGTATATAAGAACCTCAAATTACTGTTGTATAAATTGTGACATCATATAAAGAGAATGGTGATCAAGAACTCATAAAAAGTTGGATGGTAAACATTCATACACCCAAATATGCTTTTGTTTACAAACTTGACTACTGTCTGTCGAGTTGTGACTCAAATAATAGGATGGCAGAAAAATCATCATCCCCTACCTAAGAGGGTGAAACAGAGAAGTCTCTAACCCTCAGGGTGATTATTTGGCAGAGCCTTGGGTTGGACGACCAAATAAATCATCCCTTGGATTGGATTGGAAGCTATTCTTGTGGTGTTGAGAATACTTTAATTTCTCTTATCGTATTCGACCGCAAATAAACCCCCACCCTAGTGAAAAATTATTGACCAAAAGTAGGCAGGGAAGTTAACTGCGAGTATCCCCCTGTCCACAAATGTCCACCATCTTGGATATACTGTTGTTTAGATCTATGACCACACTACATTTCATGTACTTACATATAGTTGTTCATGTTGTAAAAATAAACAGACAAATTAAAAACAGTCACAGCAAGTTGATTAGTCGATTGTTGTTCTTCTGAACTGATTTCTATTATCAATTGGTAATATTAATGTTAACATACTTATATTTTGGTGCACTTGAATAGGGACTGAATGATTTGGTAACTTTTTTTTCTTTTTCAGGCGGATTTTAACCCCAACTTGCATGCATGTTCCTGGGTAGCTACCGGGGGCTATGCTGGTCTAGTTCGTCTTCACAACATGTACAATATGGTGTTTTCAGAGACACGAATACAAATGGAGGACAAAATGTCGTGACCCTAGTCCTTTATATTGGGTACAAGACGTTTCTATGGCGACCTTCCATCTTTCAACACCAAGAGTTAAAGTAACGTGCGACCCAAACTATAAGGCAAATAATGAGAAAAGTATTGTCAGACAGGATTTTGGAGACAAGGTGTTTTTCTAGCTATTTGAAAAGCGATTCTTGTGGACTGTACGTAGCTTTTTGGAAAATGTGTTCTTGGGCAGACAGTACATGTACAAGACAAGCTGTTCGTCATGACGAGCTATCAGAGAAGTGTTTCTGGCAGACTGCTAGTCAAACTATTAGAAGTGTTAAGTTTCTGGCAGACAGAACGAGGAAAACTGTAATTCATCATGCACGTGTTAGTCTTACCATTGGAAAAAAGTTGTTTCAGAGAAGGCGACCTGTTGATCTAAGTAACAGTGAAATATTGTAGAACAGATTGTTGTAGAAGGAACTCTGTCAGTCAGTTGATGATAATAACGGTTAATAACTAATTGGTGGGTCAATTTCTCAGGAAAACTGTGCATGAAACTGCCAAAGGCAGTCTATGAATGTTGTCTCTACTTACCTCAGTACCTATTGTAAAATACACTTGACAGGGTTTAAGAAATCAACATTTTAATCTAAAATATTATATGAGACCAGCCAAAACTTATGGTGGTTGTGAGTTGTGAACACTATAGTTAGAAGTTAGATTTTTATGTGCAATAGCCGATACTTAAATATGTCTCTCTGAAGGCAGTTATGAGACAAAAAAGTTGTAGTGAAATGTGTCTTAACTCATTCAACCCTGAAGACACATTTGAACTCTTCCAATTCAAAGGTTGGAATAGTTCATTATGAAATTTTAGGGGTGAATGAGTTAATAGGCAATAATCCACATACAAAGATGTTGACTGATTTTTTCGGTAATATTTCATTCTTGGAACTGTAGAAGCGTTATGGTCATTTATTCAGTTTCGAAGAAGTTCTAATTTTTCTATAAGTGTCACTAGTGATATCTACTTTATCTACTATATATGCATGATAGGGCAAATACCAAATATAATGTTTACCTAATAGATGCTTTTGAGGTACAACATATTGAAATGAACCCATGCAGGTTAAATCACATGGATGCAGAAACGTATCAAAACATGATAATTTTACCTTATCATACTGAAGTCTTTATGTATTAAGGATAAAAAAGGGAATTGTTGGAAAATTTCATAAAAATAACTACACTGTATACCCGATCTTTAAAATATCATAAATTATTACTCTTATTTACAAATAATCTGTAAGAAATCTTATGGTGTTACAGTACTTGGTTAAACCATTAAATTATTAAATATACTTCATTTTCGTTGTTCCAGCAAACAACCACTTAAAACATATTTTAATATATATATAGACATGTTAATTATTATTCAAATGATTATTTTAATATACAGTAGGACCAAAAGTAATTTACCTGTACAAGAATTTTATAGATTTTTTATTTTTTTTTAACTCGAGAATACTGTTGGTTCTTTTATTCATGAAAATAGAAAGAAAAGATAGAAATATTTAAATCAGTGTAAATTATAAATAACGTATTAGATACAAAATGTATCTGTTTCTTGTTATGAGACCTTTTTAAAGATTGTCCATAGGACGGTATGTGAATGCAAATTAAAAGGCAGCTATATATATCCGAAAAGTGCGATCCAGGCAAAATTTTAAAATTTCAATCGGACTTGAAAAGGGCAAAAAAATAAAAATTCAGGTCAATAAATGATGTCAATTTGACCTAAATTTGACATGAAAAAATCTTGACGTCATTTCAGGTAAATTTCAAGTCAAACTTAGGTCAGAACTTTTTCAGGTCAAATTTAAAAACGGGAATTTTGTCTGTGTTATGTAACATATCGCTTATACCATACAGACATGTGCTTGGTCATACTTTATATTGTTTGACCATACATTACACATTTGGCTTTACATTGTATGTCTGGCCTTAGGCATGCATTACATATCTATGGCCTTACAACTGATGTACAATTTTAATACAATTTCCTAGAATTTGTACCATTTAGCCAAAATTGTAGTTTCTTTCTGATTATTGAAACACTAATGTGTAAACAGCACACAAGAATAACAAGAAGACATGTTATCAATTCATAAATATTTTAATTTTGTAAAAAATATTTCATATCTTTATATATTTGCAGTAACATATATTTATGTAAATCATGTTATTTTGCCATTTTGAATTTTCTGAGTTACCTCCCCTTATCAAGGAAAATACTAAAATTCTTAACCATCAATTCTTTGGACAATCGTTATTGAAATTGAAATCAATAAATTGATTCTATAAATCTTCCCTATTTTAAAATCTTCATTTCAAAAGCAACATTTTTCCAGTTTAACCCTGCGCTGTTAATTGAAGATTTAAAAAAAAAGGTCCAGTAATAATTGCTCTCTACTTTTTCTCTTCCGAAACCTAACACAGATGTCCTACCTATATTATGATGCCCCACTTACTTAGACAGGGACCTTGAAATAAATATTAATGCAGGCTTTCCTTGCATACATTAATGTTTATATATCTGGGACAAAATATCAGCCCTAACTTACAGTAAAATTAAGACATTTTTTTCTCCAGTTTGATCATAAATCCCAATTTATAAAAATGACCGTTTTATTCTAATCATACATTTCATTTTGTCATCCTTTCAACATGAATGCTTGTAAAAAATGGATTATAAAATCTCATAATATGCATGCGTTTAAAATTTATTCAATCAAAAATACAGAAAAATGACAAAATGTCATTGAGAGTCACAAATATCTTGAAATACATTGTACCAGGTTTCTACTTACAGCACATTATTTTAATTTATTACATGAAGGCTGATTAAGAGAATCAATCCAGTTTAGTATTATTCCAGATAGTGAGACTAATTTGTAATAATCTTTGGTTTTATGGTATGTAGCATGCAAAACTTCCTGTTTAATTTGATCGTCATTATTCTACGTAATTTAATAAAAAAAAATATGAAAATGTTAAAAACATTGTTTTTATTGTTTACACATTTTTAGCCCAACATCGTCAAGATTTTTTGATCCTTAAATGCAGTTTTCCTGAGAAAACATCCTTACAATGCTTGTAAGCGCTATTTCTCAGAAAGTACTGGAGGGATCTTTCTCAAACTTCACATGAAAGTTCCTCATGGTCTGTAGTTATGCATATCGTTTTTTGGGGCTGATCACAAAAACAAGATGGCCTACAGCCAGCCATATTTAATTTGTGAGTAAAAGTTTGTTAGTGCTATTTCTCAAAAAATTACTGGAGGGATCTTTCTCAAACTTCACATGGAGGTTCCTCATGGTCCTTAGTTATATGCATATCGGTTTTTGGGACTGATCACGCAACCAAAATGGCCGACAGCCAGCCATCTTGAATTTGAGAGTTAGTTTGTTAGTGTTATTTCTCAGATTGTACAGTAAGGGTCTTCCTCAAATTTCACATGAAGGTTCCCCATGGTTCCTAGACCCGCATTTCAAATTTTGGGGATGATTGGTTGTGCATGTTAACTTTTGAGGTTGATCAAAAAACAATTTAGATTTTCAAATATGCACATACAAGGTACAAGATTTTGAGTTGTACTGGATGAAAAGTTTTAGAATTAAAAATGTCTTCTAAAGTGTACACATTGATGCATAAAAAAGGCGCACGACATTCTGCTACCACTAGCCGCCCTCCACTGGTCGCATGTTCAAGACCTACGTGGGGCAGTCGCCAGGTACTGGCCGTTGGTCGGTGTATTTTCTCCACCTCCTAAACCTGGCACGTTCTTAAATGACCATAGCTGTTAATAGGACGTAGAACACAAACAAACTAAGGGAGGGTAGAATGTTCTACTCAATATGCTAAACAACCGGTGTAGATTTCTGTAATTTTTCAGTTTATTCATATGGTCTGTAAGATTGTCACATATTTCCGTGAATTAAAAACATAACTCATATTTAATTATAGTGTTCTGCTGTGTAAAGTTTGAAAAAAAAAATCTTGGCATGCGTGGCCTTCCTTTTATTTTCAAAATCCTGAATCCACCCTATAACTGTGATTGTTGTTTCGAATGGAATCAATTTTAACTCATACCCACAACAATCTTCACTAGATAACTACTGACTACATCATAACAATGATTTTTTTTATATTTATGACCAAGTCATTGTAGTTTCTTCCTGATTATTGAAACACTAATGTGTAAACAGCACACAAGAATAACAAGAAGACATGTTATCAATTTATAAATATTTTAATTTTGTAAAAAATATTTCATATCTTAATATATTTGCAGTAACATTTTCTACAATTCTATCACCATAAACATTTTAAATGTTTAATTATGCAGTTCTTATAATTATTATAATTATATTAAATAATGAATAGTGACCAAAGGTACATGGCAAATAAATAATATTTCAGGGCAATGCTGGTAATATGTGACTGTTCAATAATATAAATATTTATATAAAAAACAGTAGAAAAAGGAGAGACTGGAGGGAATCCTGTACTAAATGGCATGATATCATGTCTGTCACCTACATTTTAATTTAATATTAATTTATAATTGGTGAGGATCTTATCAATGTGAACTTAATTTTCAAGTGAAAAATGACTTACAATTTCAATGATAACAATTTGAATAAATGAATGTTATAATACAATGGACGGAATGTAATAATGTAGGAAAATTTCAACAATATAATTATAATAAAAACGGGCAAAATATTATTACCATATGACTAATGCAATGGACGGAGTGTTTGTTTGTATGGGGTTTAACGGAGTGTTAGAAAGGGAGGTATATATAACTTGTGCAGAAAACAGACTGTATTCTGTAAAATGGAATTTCTAGAAGTTACGATACTTTCACAACCAATTATTCATAATGTATCGCTGTTATACCAAACAAAAAATTGTAATTCATGTTTGTAGATAATACTTATAATTCTGCAGTCATCATATTTAATGCTACAGCGCAATTGCTACCTATAAAATATTTATTTGAAGTTGCTTTTCCACATTGCAAAACATTTTATAGAAGTTTTTTCATTGAAATCACGGATTGTTTCACATTGCCTGTTCACACTGAATAAACAGCATCTCTTTCAACCCTCATACATACATGAAAAACAAATAAAAAATATCCTCAAAGTTCAAGGTTAATTATCACAGATCTCTTTGATGACAATAAAGTTTTTAAAACAAAATCAATATATATTACTTCCTGCTTCCTTATTTTGTTGGAAAATTAAGTGTCCAGACTATCAAGATTTCATATATGTTTTACAGTAATTATTTTAAATTTGAATTCATTAAAATGACTTTCTACCTAATTCGTACCTAATACATGTAATACATACATAACCACACCTGGATGCTTCGTTTTCCTTCTAAACCATTAAGTGTTCATATAGAACAAACTATACACTCATCGTTATTTTTCAAGTTTAATCCAGTGCAATTTACCAGATATAAAAATAAGACTAGTACTTAATAATTGGCAAACTTGTTCATGATTTCTCCAGCAGATGAAAGGATTTCACCAAAGTACCGAGTAAGTCTTTGGTCTTACACATCCCTGCCAATGTTTTCAACAGTATCCATTCCCCACGATCTACATTGTTTTTTACCTGGCTATTAAAGGTGGAACACAAATATGTTCACCTAAATGTTGGTCTTTCACTTTGAGGAATTCGAATATTGCTGTCAACTGAGGCGAAGCCAAGACCTTCTATCAAAGAAAACTGTATCAATACAAGTTACTTCTTCGTAATATAGAATATCTCATACATGTAGGTAAGATATTGATGATCTTCCTTTGTTCCTCAAGAATGTCTTCACGAGAAATATGGAGCAGTATAATAGGAAGTATTAAATGTCTCCTACTTAATAGGTTATCTCCCTTGTCAGCACAATGAAGTAACATCTTCCTTTCCAAATTTCTCCTGTTACCCATCAAAGGTTACCTAGTCTGATTAAGAGAGTTTTCTCCCTTGCCAGCACGTTGGAAGTTACAGTTGTCTCCCCTGATTTCTCCTGTTACCACTTGTAAAGGGTAAACTGATTTTATCATAATATGACAATCCATATTATTGTCAGTTATCTCCCTTTCTAGAGGGTATAACCACTATCACATTGCTTCTGTGTTGAGATAGGGATGGTTTGGTATGTCATTAAATAAATGTCCTATGGATGGCCTTCGTCATGAATCTCCTCGTACTTTTATGCCCCTTATCTGCAAAAATAGAAATATAAATGTTTTAGAACAACTTTCTACAGAATTTAAATCATTAAGATGACACCTGCTAAAACAATGTTATAGAAATATTACAAATTGTAATGATCATAAAGGTATTAATTAGGTATACATCTTTGATGCGAATTATAAAATATGATTATATAATGTTCGAAATTAGTCAGTTCTGAAATGCAGTGATGTTTATGAACTTTACAAGAAATCAATTTATAAAAGTGATTAGCATAATTTATTCAATGAATGATATTGATCTTCACCTGACCAATATTAACTGTTTATTATTTGTCTCCAGATCTGAATTTGACATGCAATTAGTAAAGTAGTGAAAAAAATAACTGTAAAAATCAAAATAATTTAAGAATAAACGATAAAAACTGTTGCAAAATGACATCAAACACTCAAATTCATTTTGTAACTAGCAGGCATAATCATTCACCGACATCAAAGGGGAATGTCAGGATATCAATAAAACATGCTTGTCACCAATTTCAAAAAGAAGAAAATACACTGTGCACTACGTACATGTAAATTGTTTTGTAATTAAATTGAAAGGTATCTGACAGAGAAGATGGGTCTTTAATGAAGCAATGTACAGGTACTATACAATGTATAGGTACTATACAATGTACAGGTACTATATACTGTACATGTACTATACACTGTACATGTACTATACAATGTACAAGTACTATACAATGTACAGGTACTATACACTGTACAGGTACTATACAATGTACAGGTAATATACAATGTACAAGTACTATACAATGTACAGGTACTATATACTGTTCAGGTACTATACAATGTACAGGTACTATACAATGTACAGGTACTACATACTGTACAGGTACTATACACTGTACATGTACTATACAATGTACAGGTAATATACAATGTACATTGTATAGTACTTGTACATTGTATATTACCTGTACATTGTAAAGTACTTGTATATTGTATAGTACCTGTACATTGTATATTACCTGTACATTGTACAGGTACTATACAATGTACAGGTAATATACAATGTACAGGTACTATACAATGGACAGGTACTATATACTGTACAGGTACTAGACAATGTACAGGTACTATACACTGTACAGGTTCTATGCAATGTACACGTACTATACAATGTACAGGTACTATACCATGTACAGGTACTATACAATGTACAGGTACTTTACAATGTACAGGTACTATACAATGGACAGGTACTATATACTGTACAGGTACTAGACAATGTACAGGTACTATACACTGTACATGTACTATATACTGTACAGTTACTATACAATGTACAGGTACTTTACAATGTACAGGTACTATACAATGGACAGGTACTATATACTGTACAGGTACTACACAATGTACAGGTACTATACACTGTACATGTACTATATACTGTACAGTTACTATACAATGTACAGGTACTTTACAATGTACAGGTACTATACAATGGACAGGTACTATACACTGTACAGGTACTTTACAATATACAAGTACTATACAATGTACAGGTACTATCCACTGTACAGGTACTATACAATGTACAGGTAATATACAATGTACAAGTACTATACAATGTACATTGTATATTACCTGTACATTGTATAGTACATGTACAGTGTATATAGTACCTGTACATTGTATAGTACCTTTACAGTATATAGTACCTGTACAGTATATAGTACCTGTACATTGTATATTACCTGTACATTGTAAAGTACTTGTATATTGTATAGTACCTCTACATTGGATAGTACCTTTACATTGTATAGTACTTGTACATTGTATAGTACATGTACAGTGTATAGTACCTGTACATTGTATAGTCCTTGTACATTGTATAGTACCTGTACATTGTGTAGTACCTGTACAGTATATAGTACCTGTACAGTGTATAGTACCTGTCCATTGTATAGTACCTGTACATTGTAAAGTACTTGTATATTGTATAGTACCTCTACATTGGATAGTACCTTTACATTGTATAGTACTTGTACATTGTATAGTACATGTACAGTGTATATAGTACCTGTACATTGTATAGTACCTGAACAGTATATAGTAACTGTACATTGTATAGTACTTGTACATTGTATATTACCTGTACATTGTATAGTACCTGTAAATTGTATAGTACCTGTACAGTGTATAGTACCTGGACATTGTATAGTACTTGTACAGTGTATAGTACCTGTACAGTGTATAGTACTTGTACATTGTATAGTACATGTACAGTGTATATAGTACCTGTACATTGTATAGTACCTATACATTGTATAGTACCTGTACATTGTACAGGTACTATATACTGTACAGGTACCATACAATGTACAGGTACTATACAATGTACAAGTACTATACAATGTACAGGTACTATACAATGTACAGGTACTTTATACTGTACAGGTACTCTTCACTGTACATGTACTATATACTGTACAGTTACTATACAATGTACAGGTACTATACAATGGACAGGTACTATACACTGTACAGGTACTATACAATATACAAGTACTTTACAATGTACAGGTACTATACACTGTACAGGTACTATATACTGTACAGGTACTATATACTGTACAGGTACTATACAATATACAAGTACTTTACAATGTACAGGTAATATACAATGTACAGGTACCATACACTGTACAGGTACTATATACTGTACAGGTACTATACAATGTACAGGTACTATACACTATACAGGTACTATACACTGTACAGGTACTATACACTGTACAGGTACTATATAATGTACAGGTACTATACAATGTACAGGTACTATATACTGTACAGGTACTATATACTGTACAGGTAACTATATACTGTACAGGTACTATATACTGTACAGGCACTATACAATGTACAGGTACTATACAATGTACAAGTACTTTACAATATACAAGTACTTTACAATATACAAGTACTTTACAATATACAAGTACTTTACAATAAAAAAGGACTATACAATGTACAGGTACTATACAATGTACAGGGACTATACAATGTACAGGTACTATATACTGTACAGGTACTATACACTTTACAGGTACTATACAATGTACAGGTACTATACACTGTACAGGTACTATACACTGTACAGGTCCTATACAATGTACAGGTACTATACAATGTACAGGTAATATATACTGTACAGGTACTATACACTGTACAGGTACTATACAATGTACATGTACTATACAATGTACAAGTACTATACAATGTACAGGTACTATCCACTGTACAGGTACTATACAATGTACAGGTACTATATACTGTACAGGTACTATATACTGTACAGATACTATACAATGTACAGGTACTATACAATGTACAAGTACTATACAATGTACAGGTACTATATAATGTACAGGTACTATACAATGTACAGGTACTATATACTGTACAGTTACTATACAATGTACAAGTACTATACAATGTACAGGTACCATACACTGTACAGGTACTATACACTGTACAGGTACTATACAATGTACAGGTACTATACAATGTACAGGTACTATATACTGTACAGGTACTATACACTGTACATGTACTACACAATGTACAGGTACTATACAATGTACAGGTACTATACACTATACAGGTACTATACACTGTACAGGTACTATACAATGTAGAGGTACTATACAATATACAAGTACTTTATAATATACAAGTACTTTACAATAAAAAAGGACTATACAATGTACAGGTACTATATAATGTACAGGTACTATACAATGTACAGGTACTTTACAATGTTCATGTAGGTACTATACACTGTACAGGTACTATACAATGTACAAGTACTATACAATGTAGAGGTACTATACACTGTACAGGTACTATACAATGTTCATGTAGGTCCTATACACTGTCCAGGTACTATATACTGTACAGGAACTATACAATATACAAGTACTATACAATGTACATGTAGGTACTATACAGACTTAACATAAAGCCTTTATAGTACCTACATGTACATTGTATAGTACCTATACATTGTATAGTACCTATACATTGTATAGTACCTGTTCAGTGTATAGTACCTGTACAGGGTATAGTACCTGTACATAGTATAGTACTTGTATATTGGAAAGTACCTGTACATTGTAAAGTACTTGTATATTGTATAGTACCTGTACAATGGACAGGTACTATACACTGTACAGGTACTATACAATGTACATGTAGGTACTATAAAGACTTAACATAAAGCCTTTCATTATATTGCCACCTCAACTATAGCAGAAATATTTCAAAGCCAATTTTATTCCCTTTTTTTACACTCTATTTTAACACCAACGAATCAATTCCATGGTGATTTTCCCTCAATTTATTGTCAAAACATAGTGCCAAAGTTTGGTTGGGAAACACGGTGGCAGTTTAACAAAGTTGTAATGTAATTTTCTCTCGGAAATTGGTCTGATGACACTGTTTGGGAAGGAAAAACAAACAGTGGCAGAATATCAAGTCTTCGTTGTAATTTTCTTCCTAAAATTGGTGTTGATGGGTATAATTTGGGTAGTTTAATGGGTATAATTTGGGTAGGAGTGAGACACAAACAGATAATTATAACATGCAAATGTAAACAAAAATATATTTAAAATAAAAAAAACATTCTTCAAATTCAACAAATTTAATCACAAACAAATGTACAATTAAGAAAATGAATAATTAAGAAAGGACTATGTATGGTTTGGGCCTATTTTGGCCCCCAGATACATCAAAAGTAAAAATCTGCAATAGAACTTTCAAATGACTGTTTCTTTAATTTTGAATACTTCCCCAGTACTATTTTGTAAATATTTATTTGTGTTTTCAATTTTCGCTGCCATGGTAACCAGGTCATATTTGCATAAATTATTGAAATTTGATTATTCAGTCAATTTTGACAGGTTTTCACCTAGTTTTTCTCTTAGTTACCATAGAGCGCACTCTTGAGCAAACTTTATATTTCTCATAAAGATGTATTACAGGTGCCTACACATTATCCTTTGATATTAAGTTTTTTCAAACATGCGCTCTATAGTTTCTAGGAGAAAAACTATGCAAAATATCACAATATTCACTGAATATTCATTTTTTTCTAATTTATGCAACTTTGAACTTGTTATTATGGCAACAAGAATTAGAAATATAAATAAATATTTTCATTATAGTATTTGGGAAGTATTCGAAATTAAAGAAACAGTCATTTCAAAGTTCATTTAAAGGTTTTGAATTTTGATGCATTTGGGGCCCAAATCACACCCAAACCATACATATATATAGTCCTTTATTAAGTCATCAACAAGTTAAAACTAGTTCAGGCTTTTACAAAACATTAGAATGATATCAGTTGTACACTGTGGATCAATGGAGGTGAAAGTGAGGTCAATCAAATCTAATGTGAGGCTGATTATTTTCAGAACGAGGCTCAGTATTACAAGGGCATGCACCTTTGGGACTACCTCAATATGTTCCTGGGATTCGGGAAGTACAGGCAGACTTTTCTGTATCTCCTCTATAAACTTGCTAGCTGGGTTTTCCATCCACTGATTTAGTGATAAAATTGAACGATTTAATTATGATGAATACTTGGTTTAATAAAAAAACAAAAAAACAAAAAAACAAACAATTATGATGAATTATTAAGGATTGTGATCCCCGAAACCAGAAACTGTAACTTAGTGTTGGGAACTGTTTTTTCTGGCATGACAATGATTTAAATAAATTATTTCTGAAAAGAAAACCATGCCTTGCAAGAAATATTCAAGATGAAATATACAAAATATAATCAACAACAGTGTTCTGAATGGAAAAAAAGTCTGCGGGGACTGATTGAGCTTTGAAAAACTGGACTTCAGATTGTTATAGAATCGCTCTAACTGATAGAGCTACCTGTAAACCAATGGTCAACAGAGTGTCATCTTTGTTAAGGCAGTGACGTAAATTTCAGATCATGAAACAAACAGCCATTTCTAAATATCAAGGTAATATAGTTGGATTATTGTCTAAAAATGACCTGAACATTGTCCTTTATAACAATCTTTATATAACTAGATTTTATCAGTATATAAGATGTAAATATCCATTTTTAAGCATTTTCTGTATAAAAAGAAAATTGCAACAATTTTTGAATTAAATTGTTTGTTTTCTGCTGAAAAAGAAATCATCTGATATTGTGTTCAATTCTTTGGATTATTAGTAATTTTGTGGTCTGTGTTTTGTTGGACTAGATAACCTAACTTTGGTATTCTCTAAGCAATGGAAGAAATGGGATAAATGTTAAAATAACACTACTCTATTGGGGAAGGAGACACTAACCACCAGGAACTATCTACAGGTTAATAAGATTTAATGTCACCCTCATCCAACAGACTTCAGTTCTTGTTAGTACCGAAAAGATCAATTATTTCTAAATAATCCTTAAAACCAATGACAATTTTTTTTTTTTAATTATGATGTTTGATACTTACTGATCAAAATACTTTTTCAAGTGTTCTCATATAGGTAATCATATTCAAATCAATAAAACATATAAACTTGAAATGAGTTAACATCATTTACAGAAAAAACATATGGAAGGAATGACAAAGAGTCAGTGCTTCCTAAATTTCCCTTGTCAGGATAGTATATTAACAATAAACACTCTTATTTTTTATTGAATTATTGAATTATTAAAAATCAGTCCTTGTATAATTTTTGTGTTTAAAAAGTGAAATAAAATATTCCCCGATAAAGATATCTGAAGATAATTTTGTTTCTGTCTTTTTTTTAAAAGTTAAATATTGCATTGCATATTGAATCAATAGTAAAAGGGCTCTACTGATGTATGCCACAACAAGGTAGATAACTCTATCTAACTGGTGATTTTACTAACTCATGTTAGTGACTGAAGCCTGTTAGTCAATGGAACGAATTGCAGACTGTAGGAACTCTCACCCCTAGACTAAAAGCTCTTGTAAGACAAAAATAGAATGGGGGAAAAAATTGAATAAATAAATATTCATACGAAATTGGAGTTGCCGATCGTTTTAGTCGCTCGAACACAATGTTGATATACTCTTGGGTGAGAATAGAAGTCGGGATTTTCGTAATGTCTGTCGGCCCCGTTCGAGCAGTTTGGGGCTTTCCCTTGTAGTCTTTCAGATTTCTAGTGAGAATTCTATCTATAGCTTCCTCTGTTAATCCAGTCTGCATTTTGATTGGTCGAAAAAACAAAGTTAGGATTTTTTTCTTTTTTTAAAGATGGTACCGTTTTCCACTACATCTACTTGATCTTAAGTGTGAGTCAACTTAAGTTTCTTAATTAATGTAAAATGATATGCTTAAAAAGGAACTAAGAAATGCAATACAAAATCAATCAATATGATATCACAGTTATTTAAATTTAACTCTCTCAATACTACTGTATGATGTCATCTAAACCAACTCTGTGGTTCCAGGATGGCTACTGGCTTCCTTGATGAAACAGTGTATTGTTTAATAAATAATTTATGAGATTATTGCTAAAAACAAATTAGAGAAACTGCGATATACCCCCTGCTTGTGCTTCTCATGTTTTTTTGTGCAGAAAATAAAGATTCAAGGGCCATAACTCCAAAAAATAGTTGAATCACAAATCCTTTCTTCATTCACATATACTTTAACTGTGCCAAGTTACAAAACATTCCATGAACTGTTAAGGAAGCGTTAATGCTCTTTGTTTGCAGGGTTTATAACAAAAGGTAAGGGTTCATTGATTGGAATACTGGATATTTAATTGGATCAGTCGTTACTTTTTGTTTTTATTATTTCTGAAATTGTACTTTATGAATAAGAATATATATTAAATGGAGCAGGACATTTTTAACTCTCACTCTTCATATACTCCATACAGCTGGAAAAGACAGCTTGGCGCTCCCTAAGGGGAGATAACCTCATGCATCATAATAACACAATAGAAAAGGATCAATATTATGAAACAACAGGAATAATATTACATGACATCACAATCAGTATTCACAGGAGAGGAAATAAAAATCGGGACAGAAAACATATTACAAATGCATGGTGATAACCAATGTTTTTGAAGATATTATTGACAAGATGGGAGAAATAGAATTTATGCCAGAGAAATCTCAAACCCTCGGGGTGTGTCACCATATCCTCTTGAAGCAAACCTAGCTCAGGTGAAACAATAAAAAATGGGACCCCTTGAGAAAGATTTCTTGAGATTTCTCTGTCATACAAAATGGTTAATGAAGATTATATTGGTCAATATATTATTGACTGAAACATTTATAGGATTTAACAGCACATCAAACACACTATGTTATCGCGTCAAATTCATGTAGTTACACCGTAGACTTTTCTTTTTAATTTGGATTTTCTGCACTATCAATGACCTTGTTTTCACCACCTATGGATATGCTACATTAACAGTTTTACCCATAATTTGTTTTTGATTCTTTAAATACTTTCTCAAATATTTTAACTGTAATTTGCCTGTTACATAATCTCCCTTTTTTACATGTACCTGTGAATTATGTTAGAGTTATTCCCCTTTAAATGTTTTTTATAACCCTGTCAAATTTGTCATTGGCTCCGTTTTTTCTCTCTTTAATATTTGTACAGAACTCTTTAGGAAAAACTTATATGCATACCAAATTAAGGTATCATATAGCCCTGATTTTTTCTTTGGAGCAAAAGCCAGACATAGATACAAATTTCATACTTCAAAATATGGCCTTAATTGATTGATCTCATTCCAATCATATAGCTTCGAAACATTTCATGTCGTTTCTCTTCACTTGAAAAGTGAGACAGGAACAAAAACTGCTTATAAGAACCGTTTTATTTAAGATTACATTGGGAAATACAAAACAATAGCCGAACGAACAGATTCTGAAGCGAAAATCGAAAACAGCGAATAAAAGTCTAATAAATGTGTGACCTCATGAAAGTCAATTAACAATAATTTATTTCACAAACCACTTACATTTGTCAGACAATATGAATGCCGAGATACGATTCACAACATCGAAGAATAATCTGTTTTTATATATTTGAAATAGACTTTTGAAATCCACAAAATGTAAGTGGTTTATCAGCATTAATGATCAAAGTAGCAAACACATTTTTATATAATCATTTAATTTTTAAGCTACCAGGGCCGTTATTTTTATTTAACATACAGGATCACAATTAGTTAAATGACACTGATTTTTTTCTTCTTTTAATATTCCAATCGTAAAATTTCATTGACCTTTCAAAATTATGAACAAGTTTTTCAAGTGAGCCCAGGAATTAAATCTAATTGAGTTTGTTAATTTCTTTCTAAACATTCAGTGTCATCTGTGTTGGTAATTACTGGGGATTTATCATAATACACACACACAGTTAATTATACAGCAGAGAATCTGCTCCCATCGGCATTTACCTTAGGAATACTTTCTTCCCGATAAAGCGTCTGAAATCAGGTTATCCATTTACATTTATATTGAGTCCTACTTTACCAATATATAAATACATAGTAAAAACAAAATTATGAGACCCTCCCTAGGCCTCTCAATAACGATTTTGAAAGTCTGAAGCAATTCAGAATTATATTCCACTTTTTTTTTTATATAACTTCAAAGAATTGCATGAATTTTTATGGAATTTTACCCTACTTTGACAAAGAATAATAGAAAACTTTAATTAAACCATAATTGCAGGCCTATAGTAATTCTTTCTTGAAAACAGTCATTATAGAACTTTTAATAGAATATATACATGGTGATTTGTTATGCTGAAATCATGCGAGGCACATAAATTTAGTTTTATATTTTGTCCCAAAAAAAAATCCTGAATGTACCAAAGTTTGAATCACCAATGTTGTTTTATTCTTTAATTGCCAAACTGACAGATTATAACAAAAAATAACTGCATAATAAAAACTTTTTATTTTTTTGCAAAAAGAAATGCTGACCACAACAAACAGCGAGAACACGCGACAGAGAACATGTGTCACAAACATGCGTCACGCTGATCTCCGACATTTGTACCTACCAGTGGGCCGGGCGTTCTACTAATGCGCTGCCTTCCCACTAGCTTGGTCGCGTCCTCAGACATCCCCGGAAGAGGCGTGGCCATAAACCCTGTGGAGGCTGTGGCCGCGGGTGTCGTGGTTTGGCGAGTAAATGACTTGTATAAAGGACCAGATCTGAAGTGAAGGTAGTAATAGATTTAGTATGTCACATGGTTCAATTCCTATACAAGATAAAATGGTTTGACAGGTAAATGTCTTGTGTAGAAAAGGTCAGACCTGTGATACAGGTATTACAAGATTTAGGATGCCCTATAGCATAGTGGTTCTTGTGCATACAGGACCAAACTCTTCAGAAGGTAGTAATAGATTTAGTATGTCACTTGGTATACCAGTAAATATTTTGTATATCAAACCAGACTTGTAGTGGTGAAATAAAATTCAATGTAGTCAGGTAGGTAAAATGTTGTTTACATAAGACCATACTCTACAGAAGGTAGGAATAGATTTAGTATGTCACATGATTCAATGAAGGTATTTATATAGAAAAGGTCAAACCTGTGATACAGGTATCAAAAGAGTAAGATTTCACACGTCATAGAGGTTGTCAGAAAAACATCATGTACATACGGACCAACTCTACAGAAGGTAGGAATAGATTTAGTATGTCACATAATTCAATGAAGGTATTTATATAGAAAAGGTCAGACCTGTGATACAGGTATCAAAAGAGTAAGATTTCACACGTCATAGAGGTTGTCAGAAAAACATCATGTACATACGGACCAACTCTACAGAAGGTAGGAATAGATTTAGTATGTCACATAATTCAATGAAGGTATTTATATAGAAAAGGTCAGACCTGTGATACAGGTATCAAAAGAGTAAGATTTCACACGTCATAGAGGTTGTCAGAAAAACATCATGTACATACGGACCAACTCTACAGAAGGTAGGAATAGATTTAGTATGTCACATAATTCAATGAAGGTATTTATATAGAAAAGGTCAGACCTGTGATACAGGTATAAAAAGAGTAAGGTTTCACATGGCATGGTGGTTTGTCAGAAAAACATCATGTAAATACAGGGCCAACTCTACAGAAGGTAGTAATAGATTTAGTATTCACATAAAAATATTATCAACTCATTAACATGACCAATTTACAAAAGATTAAAGTAAAACGCATTGCAAAGGTATATTCATAAATATAAGGACATGGACTGAATTTGTTTGTGTCAGTAAGTTAGGAGTAACAATAGCGTAACTATGACATGTTTTGGGGCAATACATTTATGTCCAATACTGCAGGATGTCAATTGCAAGTGTCAATATAGTCAGGTTTCAATGTATATTACAGTTACAACTTTAAAAGTTAGGTGTCGGTAAAGCTAGGCTCTACTACAAAATATTTAGTTATCTTTAAAACTGATATTAAATAAATAATTATAGGTCATGCATACAAATAAGCATTAGTTGAATATGAACTGGTTATAAGGTTGCAAGATACAAGCAATGTTTATAAAGCAATACAAATGTTATATGCAAATTATTATAAAAGAAACATATCCTAATTCTATGTCGGAACTTTCTGAAAGGAATACCTTTATTGTAATACACCGACAATCTGCTGTTATGATAATTGGATGACAACTGGGAAAATTGGCAACTTTTGTCATGATAAGACTAGCTGTAGGAAGTCCAGGTCAAATCAATTTTACTTTATTTTGAAATTTTAGTTATCGGACCATATAATAGAGTTGATTGGAGGTAGAGCTACAGTTCCAGCAGCTGATATAAGACCAGATGGTATGAAATATACTACAAATATTAGAGATAAATCTGGTGGAATGTGATACATATATATCAAAAAACAAAATAGTTCTTGGTTAATAAACAACTGGAGTGAATATGGCTGTCATGAAAAAAATGGACATTGTCTTATTGGTCTTGACAGAATTGGTCTGTGTCAGAAACAAGACGGCTATATATCAGTTAAATGATCAGAAAACAATCGAATTATGCTTTGTTGCATTCTCTTTTTTAAAACAGGTAGATATCGTAGATCACACACAAGATAGATGCTGTTTGATTTATAACATCAATATGGCTGCCAAATGTGTATACCTGGCTGTTTTCTTGTTGTTATTGGAAACATGGCTACCCGCGCCTATACCGGACAGGTGAAAACTACCGAGAGTGGTTGTGTCTCGGTGGAGGTACGGGTTATTTCGAGCCGTGACAGGAATGGTGGTAGAAACACCTTCTACATCACTTTCACTGCCACCTTCCTCAGAACTGTGAAAAAGCACGGCCATTGTTAGTCAGCTTAGCCAATCAAACAGCAAGATAAAATGTTAGAAGGCCAGCACAGCCTATCACATATAACCAAACTCCAAAATTTAAAGTTGAAAAATGATATTTGTTAAAAGGTTAGTAATATCAATAAAAGTATATAAACCAGCTATAAAAAACAGAACATGGATTTTGCAATTTCTTTCTTGAATAAGCTTCATAAGTTTCCCAAATTCAATTAGATTTTTTTTTTAAATAGTATCAACAAAATTCAATTTTAAAGGAAACAAATCACACATTTATGGTGTTACATTATCATACTAAATTTGCACAAAATTTAATGTAATGTTTGCATAATTGCTGCTAAATATAATCCTTTACTGTATAGATACCTGGTATATTATTTTCATAATTCGCTATGATTTTATATTAAAACAACAATAAAAACAAGCCCCACACATTTTGAGATAATTTGCAACATAGAAGAAACATTTCACTGCAGTGAACCTATGATAAGACCACGCTCAGTTATAAGCCCACCCATTTATTAACTCATTCACCCCTGAAGACACCTTTGAACTCTTCCAATTCAAAGGTTGGAATAGTTCATTATCACATTTCAGGGGTGAATGAGTTAAACAGATTCTTATAGAAGAAATTCACATCTTAACATTTTAGTTACTTATACGCTAGAAAAGCATGTCAATTCTAAATGATAATTGCGTAAAAGCAAAAAAAACAACACGTGTGAATATTTTCAAAATAGAAATCACACAGATCTTTCTGTCAGAATGTCAAGGTCCAAACCTGTTGCTCTCTTAATTTAAATTTCGACAAAAATTATTAAATGGTTTCTGATTGAAATTCGACTATGCAATAGGAACAAATAGAAGCTTTGGAAAATTTTGTTTTTGTAAAGAACGTACCTATAAAGATTTCAATTCATTAACGTGCGTCATGCCATTGAGCATGTAAGGAATATGTGTTTTAGTCCTTCAAAAAATCGGAGACTTGAGTCTAGCGGTACCATTAATTTAAGGCTATAAATGCGAAGGGTAAAATTTGGAAATGAGCTCCGAACCCATTGAAAAATAGATCCATGGTCTCATCATAAGCAAGATAAGATATATTTGACCGTATTAAATAATATTTTAAAATATGTTAAAAATAAGATGGATTACTAGGTATAAACCATATTAGTGCAACATTATAACATGATTTTTTTTAGTTAGATAATTTAGCTAATTGTTATATTTATCTAAGCATGCAAATTATAATACCAGGTAATATAAATAAACATTATACCAAATATAAATGCATAAATATGTTTTAACAAAATTTTCTACCATTTCATTGCTTTGACTCTCGAGCTCCATGCCATGTGACCTACCTTATCTCCCTTGGTTGTGGAATTGTAGAGGGCAGCACTGCAGGTGCCATTTCTCTGAAAGTGTCAGCTGTAAATTTGAAGCAAAGAGAAAGTGATAAAAAAATTGTGAAATCAATAAACCAATTCTGTTTTTATAATTTTTCCTATGTAAAAAGAAATATGAAAATTTATGCATTTTTGAAGTTTTCAATTGCATTCAAAATTCAAATCGCATGAAGAGTCCCAAGATTGGTGATGTACTAGTTGGAAATAGTCTTCAGTGTTTTGGGTAAATATTTTATATCTACGTTCACATGGACATTTTAATTTTCATAACTAGAAATTCATATCTGAGCTGAATTATATACAAATAAACATATATATATATATAGTGTGTAACAAGTTTTTAGCTAGCCAGGGTTATAGAGCTGAAACGATCAATACGCATTACTCACCATACGATACGTATAAGGTTACGATGCTTATAATACCATACGCATCACGATACACATATCTGTTTCGTAACATTTGAGTGCAGGACTTTACAGTTTTGTCATAGACTTAAACAGTATTTACGTTCAAAATACATTTTTGTATAATTTTATAATTTTTAGTACTTTTGGGTATGACTGCACAGTGGACCACATCTTTACTGAAGGTTTCCAAAGAAAACCCAACTAATTTGACTTCTTTTAAGTTCGATAAAAAAAAAAGATTGATTTTTTTTTATTTTTTTTGTGTGTATATATCAATACAGACAAACAAAGCAATAAGATATGATACACAAGAAAGTATCACGACACGATATGATTTGATGAATCATTACAGCCCTATTCCGTCTTTTTTCATTGCAGCGTTATCTGCTCTTGTGAGCAGGTATTGATTGTTACGTCATTGGTTTGTGTGAGAAAATTACGTTGTTTTCTCAAAAAATGATGACGTTACTCTCACAAACTAATGACGTAACAATCAATACCTGCCCACAAGAGCAGATAACTCTGCAATACGAAAAGACGGAATAGCCAAGGTCAACCGTGATATTTTCTGCTGCAGTCATTGCGACAAGTTTCACTGGTCTCAATGAGAAGAAGGTCTATCACCAGACTGTAGTAATATTCCGTGTTATAATAGACATTTCTGCTGAATTATGTCACTATATTACAGATTTTGCAGCTTGTATAAAGTGTAAGATATATAACTTGTTATAAAGAAGATCACACATTTGAAGATTAGTGACTTTGAAGCATTTCACACACCTTGAATCTTCTTCGTGTATGTGTCAACTCTAAAATTTCTTCCGTTAGCTTAAGTTATATCATTTGTCTTTTAAACATATTTAAAACAAATGGAAGCGCTGAATTTTTTTTTCTTCTTTAAAAAATGTAAAATCTAAAAGTAACACCATAGCATCATAGTTCGTTCTTTTAGCTGCAATCTTCTTTTAGAGAGCCCACACACAAATATTTCCACACAAATTGTTAGCAAACTATACTTGACATATATTCTATGAACTATCTGGAAAACATAACAAGGGAGTAACACTAATTTACAACTCATAAAAAACACACAAATAAAGGTAAAACAGACAAGAACCTCTCTAATCTGGAGAAATTGGTTTAAAAAAACAACCAATCAACAGAAAAATCAAGAAAGTAATAAATCACATTTTCAATTTGCTAGATTTGCACAAAACCCTTTCAGTCCAGATTAACATGAGGTTCCTCAAACCTCAAACCAATTATGTCTGATAGAATTTTAAATCTCAGGACATGTATCAATCGCTATAGCAACAGCACACAAAGCTAGCAACACATCTACTATGGTAAATCACTTTATTTAATGCCTTCATTAAAACCTCGTTATACTGCCACTGTTTGCTCAGAGAAATGTTGGCATTATAAAGGGATAAGGTGGTAAACTGAGGGAAATGTATAAAGGAATTCTTAAGAAAAACAGAAAAAAATGGCAATTACGGGAAATATACTGGTGGTATCTGAGGTGGCAAATGGAACAAGGGTCATTATATTGAGGTTTTACTGTACTTTGCCTGAAGAATTAATAAACGAATAGTTGAATTCGTGATTGAGAGGATACTTTTTCAACATTGAAAGAAATCATCAATGGAATTTAAGTTTGCAAAAAATATGAATTTGCTAATGAGTCTCAATGCAAATTGAAGTGAAAATTAATCTCTCATGTAAATAAAGTGATCTACTGTTGCTCAATAATAATGAAACGAAAAGCTTTTTTCAAAAATATTAATTTAAACTGCAAGAACATACAATAGATAAACATTCGCCCTTCCTCGGTAAAATACATAGGTACTCCATATATTTATTTTTTTTCTAATTTGAATACGGAAATTTGATGAAAGAGATATTTGTCCTTATTATGTAGAGTGAAAAAGGCAAAAAGTTAAACTGCAGCAGATATTGAATTGAAAATTAAAAAAAGATAAAAATCTGATTTTCAAATTAAGAAATTTTGAAAAAAGGGGAAAAATGAGGTTGTCATCACTTGATAATATTATACAGGTTTATTTCCCAGCAAAAGCGATCAAAGAGTGAATAATACAAAGTGTTAATTCCAACACGACTGTAAAAAAAAAATCGTCAAACTCCTGGTCACTCCACGCTTAAACAACACACGTTTATAAACTAGACCTAGAAATGTTGACTCTCTTCGTAGAAAAGACGACTCTCTGGGCCGCAGCCTCGCTAGAGTTTCCGCAATTGTCGGCATGCCATCACACAAAGCTATGCGAAAATTACGCCTCAAAGCTGGTGGGGTCAAAGGTCGTGTCTGTTGCAAGGAGACAATTCTCCGCTGGTAATGTGTAAAGCTTGGTTCAGGCATCTCATCACTATCAGTTGTCGTACACTAATGAAGCCGTAAGAAAAAAGGAAGATAATTCATAATTCAACGTTCTAAAAGCAAAAATGGTGTACTGAGTAAAGGGATATTTCTGCATAAAGATAGTCCTTTGAATTTTTTTCTTGTTTTCAATTTTTTTTTAAGTCCTAATGTTAATTTTTTTTTTAACATTATTATTACAAGAGGCCAAGTTGGCCACCTGTACAGCGATGAAAAATCCAAAGAATAACGTTTCAGCAGAAATAGCTTAAAGTCTTCAGTACACCAACATTATATAACAACAAAACTTACCTGCATGTGTATAACTTGTACGAATATTTAATCCTACGAGTGTCTGGGCGATGTTGGGTGTCCCCTCGCTCAGCGCCACCTGTAGGCGACGTTGTAATTCATCATTTGTTAGTGATCGGTTCAGTTGTTGATGAACAGGCATCAACGACTGAGGACAAGAACACAGTCCATCTTCCAGTTCACACTATAGTCACACGATTGTCACACGATTTGAGTGATGATGCAGAGTAACGAAGCCGAGCAAGAAAAAGAATTAAAAGCCATACATGAGTAAATACATCAAGCAATACAACTAGCAGCGATTTTTTTTTTGAGTTAGTAGATGTTATCTATAACTAGCCATGAGTAACTTGTTAACTGTAGTCAAAGTAAGACGAAAACATTGATCAGCATATTTTATTTGAATATTCTATTTTCCCCAATTACAAACAGTATCTTTTTTTAACTTTAATTTTTTTTTCTCATCGTACCAAAATGGGCCCAAAATACTTTACATCTAAATGTAAAGCAACACCAATTACACAGATGATCAGTTCATCTCTCAGCATAATAATTTGGTTAACTCATCCACCCCTGAAATTTTATAATGAACTATTCCAACTTTTAAATCGGAAGAGTTCAAATTTGTCTTCAGGGGTGAATGAGTTAATACAATGTCTCCGGACAAATTAGACCAATGCATGCATTGTCTTCCAACAAATTAACACAAGTATTATTATCATCTGAAAGATGTAATAGATTCACTTATGATTTTTTTTTCTGTGTGATGGTGGAGTCTAATCTAGTCTAGTCTAGCTTCTAAGGGGAATAACTCTGTCCCCTAGCTATATCTCATGCATGTCTTATTCCGTCTTTGCGTTTTGCAGAGTTATCTTTTCTTGGGAGCAGGTATTGATTGTTACGTCACTGGTTTGTGAGAGTAACGTCATCAATTTTCGACAAAACGACGTAATTTTCTCGCACAAACCAATGACGTAACAATCAATACCTGCTCCCAAGAGAAGATAACTCTGCAATACGCAAAGACGGAATATATGGAATCAAATCATATTTTTACAAATAAAAATTTGACCATGGAATTGAAATTCAAACATTTCTAATATTTTGGCCCTTTTGGTTAATAATAAATTTGCATGAATTGAAAGAAAGGGAGTTGTGAAAAGGGTTCTAATTTTTTGCAGCTATCATAATTACAACCCAAAAAATTAATAGCAAATTCATTCATCCATCAGAAAGTGTCATGATTCACTACACATAAAATTTGTAAAAAATATTTCCAACATAATTGACCATTTTATCAATTTCACAAAAATAAGGAACCACAAGAACAGGACTTTTCCAGCATTATTTTTAGGATAACCTTAATGTCTTATTATTCAGGTTAATGACATTAATAACAACACAGGCTAAAGTTAATAGTTTTTACATCAAAACATAATTAAGACAACAATGGAATATCAGCTGCTATCAACCAGATACTTACTTCCTATAAAGAAAATATTTCAGAAAAGATTTGTTTATGATGTGATATACTATAACTTAAGTATGTAGTTTCTATGGATAAGGTACAGAATATGTATGTTATGGTAAGTATTACTGGAATGAAATTAACTTTCAATCTAGCTTCCTTCAGACACAGAGGTGTCCTGTATAAAAAGGTTCCACTACACATTTCATATCACACACTAGCCCAAATAGTCACATATTAGCTGCCATGGATGAATATGTATGAATTGTCAAGTCTCACTTTAGTTAAAGTTTATGCCTTCCTTAATAAATACAGTAAAATCTTGACACAACACCTTTAAAAAAAAATCTAAAATAAACATAAACAATAAATATAATTAATTAATATCAACTTATTAATAAAGAATCTCTAAATAAAATTCCATATTTAACCCTTTTTTTAACTTCACCCCATCATTTTTCAACACATGGACTGATTGATTTAAAAAAGAAACCTCATTTAACAATGACCTAGCACTAGGCATAATTTTGTCAAAACTAAACCTTATCGGTTGTGGCCCTCTGAAGCATTAAAGTTAAGGCTTCTTTGGTAAATAAAATTTATTTGTCCAATTACATTTTAAAAAAACCTCAAGCATAACAACTACAGAAAATGAGCAAATGTTGGTTTAGAATTTTCATTTTTTTCATTTGTCCATTTGTCAAAAAGGGATAAAATTGGAGCTGAGAGCAGCCAATGTGATATGAAAAATCTCTGCCACGTCACATTCACCACGTAATCTAGCCTACGCCACGCCAACAACATGACGAGCGAACACGACATATAGACCCACGCGATGAGGTAACCGGAGCCCCACCTGTAGTTTCAACCAAGTGTCCATGTACCATGCTCTCTCACTAATGGGTATAGTAGAATTGGTGGAAATCTTCAGGATAAAGAAAACAAGAAATAGTCTTGTGTTGCTATGACGATAATGTGTGGTTTAAAAAAAATATTACTTTACAAAATACTGAGTAAAATATGTCGGAATGTCAACCAAAAATATATATAGATTTAAAATAAGAATATCTTAGAAAGATTCAGATTCAGTAAATTAGGTTTTCTTGGTTATGATTCAATGTGTGGCAATATTATCATACAAAACTTTAATTTAAATTATTTGAACAGAGAATTAGCAAATGATTAGAAATGTGATCTCCATTTCTTCATTGTTTATTTTCTTTCTCTAAAATTTATTTAACGGAATATAATTTAAGGACGACTTGTGTAGTTAAAGAGTAAATATAGATGCAATACTCTGAACAAAACCAATGAATTGATTATGAGTACAAAAAAGGCAAAAGAATACAAATCAATGAGTTACCAGCCTCACAAACCAGTGGAATAAATAATATCTGATGAACGATCCAAAACCTCCCGAGTATAAGTTTACCATAAATATCATAATATTGCATGAATTGATGCCTTGAAATTTACCTGTTCTATCTTAAGGATCTGCAATATTTGTGAAGGTATGTTAATTAATAGTAACTGATTTTTCTTAATTATCTCATTAAATTTAAATAATTAGTCGAAAGTAGATAGATGATAAGTAATCTCTAAATTTATCAATTTTTCATTATGAAAAGTGAGCATGAAATGAGTTATAAATTGAATTTCATTTGACTGACTCTTTAAAAATAAATTGTACTATTAATCTATTAATCATTGAAATTTTTCACTCACTATATTGAAAGACTAAAAAATCCACCAAAATCGTTTATACAAAGAAAATCAAATTCAAATTCTAAACAATATTTTGAAGTATGTATCAGTATCTAAATATGAAGTTGTTTACAATTTTAAAATAATTCTTTTGTTTGGATATCAAAGTTATCAAAATTATCCAGTTTAAAAAAGAAATCACACTTTGTATAATTCGAACCTTCAAAAGTGATATCGAACATCCCTCATACACTTCCAAAGCCATTCATCACAAACCAAAATTAGTAGAGAATATTTAAGATATCCTTATTTTGAGTTAATTTCCATCACGTTAAAAAACGTTATTTTTACACAATATTAAAAATCTGGCCTTTAATTTCTTGTGCATGTAATCATTCAGAAACACCATAAAAAAAAAGAACTTTTACAGCCATTGACCAATCATAATTCAAAACATCTTCCCATCACCATACACACAGGTTGAACCTACGTTATGGTCCATTAGATTATTCACGTTAACCGTGGTTGGTCGAGTTCTATCCAAATACTCCCACATCGGGTCACATGACTAAATCAAACACCAATGAGAGTCAAGCTAATTAATTATAATAATTCAACAGGCAGGATTAATACTCAAACTAGAATACTATATTCTAACTTAAAACTGAAGTACCTGCTCATCAAGAGTCTCAACAGTGTTTAATAAAGATTAATTTTAGACACATTAAGAGAAAAGACAGACTTTTAAAACTTATTTTTGTTAATTATTAGAACTGAAAATCAGGCTGCTATATTCTGGAATTCAAAATAAATATCATTACCATAAAACAAAAAACAATCTAAACCCATTTTTTTTTTAATTTAAAAACATGTGATAATGTTTTATTGAAAAATTTAGATATCAAAAAAACTTTTAAATTATCAAACAAAATCTCCACCACTTTATTTGTATCTCCATTGCTGCACCTCCGTGGAAGGTTTGATTGAGTGTCTCATACAAATTCTCTACACAAGGTATGGTACCCTGTGTTTTAGATTTACAATGGGAAATATGGCACCAATCAAACATTGTATATGACGGTTTGGAATTAGTGATATACAAGATTTGGCCAACTTTCCATTTTTAATTCACACTCCATCTTCAAAACTGTGAAAATATGTTAAATGAGTATTGGAAAAAAATCTGTGTAATTTAATTTCCAAATGTTTATGAAAAATTGATTTGTTATTTTTTTGCCAAAATATTGAGAAAGGGTATGGGATATTTAGCTTAAAATTGAAAAAGAAACAAAATAAATAAAATGTGAGCATTCTCACGACCTTTCTATCAATACTTGTGTCAAGTAAAATACATGTTTAAATCTACCTCAAGGTTGGTATTTAATCATAACCCAGTGGACAGGTATGGTAGAAGAACGCAAATATTTTACAAGTTGATCAGTAACTATATATCGTTTGCTTTCAACATAGTTTCCTCATCTTACATAACCTAAACTATTTTATAAAAAGCATACATGCATTATTGACTATATCTAAGGCTATGCTAAGGAAAACAGACCCATGCAAAAGATTGAAATACTAGTAGACAGATCCTATTAATCACCCATATTCCAATATTTACCTATTCTTTCTAAAATCACCTGCTCTCCATTAATTACTATAATTTTCACAAGCAATCCCATTTCTGAATCTTAAAACACCCCCTTACAATCCTTTCTTCCCCAATCCCTACTTCTGTTTTAAAAACTAATACATGTAAAATTACCTGGGTGATTAATAGAACCATTATGATACCTTCATATAACCTTCATGTGACACACCTCTAAGACATTTCTTATTTCAACTCTGTAGTATACTTAATGATACATATGTTTGATATTATCATAAAATTTGTAGCCCTTTGACACAGAGCGAAACTCTGGCCAAATTGAAGTTTGACATGTACAGGCTTAAGGTAAAGGGTACCATTTCATAAGTTATTAAAACAAAGAAGAGTTCCACTTCACAGCTGTATCTTTATACATGTAAAAAATAGAAATTCTATCTTAGAGTAACTTCCCTTGATGATGTATTCCGCTTTTATTTTGATACTATGTATTTACAATTCCTGGGTAGTAAAACTTGTGAAGTATATAGTCTCAACAGGGGATGGGTTCCAAATTCCACTTCTTGATTTCTATTTTTTGGTTTTTATTTCTGTTTCCAGAAACTTTAATTTTGAACAATTGTAATTTTGTAAAATATATTTCTAGATATATTTTATATGAATTTGTCTGTTGATAATGACAGATGAATATTTCATAATAGTTACGTAATGTACATTTAACATAATGGGAACCATTTAATTTAAGCTCTGAAAGATGAAACTGTCTTATATTAAATTCTGAAAACAAATCTAACTATGGCAGTAGAAATAAACCTAATTTTATCATAATAACACTTAAATACACATCTGCATGTCAATAATTCATAGAAAAATTCAGGAATTTGATACAAATATTTAAACATTTATAACTGAATATGACAATTTTATCTTGATTGCAAGACCTTTAAAATCAAGTTCTACTTGGGAGGTTAATTTCATACTATCAGGTTTTGAAATTTAATCAAGAAGTATTTAATTGTTTTAAAGCTGTATTAAGACCCCATTTTATTTTATGAATAATTTCTTTAATATGTAGGATATAACACATTTTTTTCATAAAAATACTTACAAAGAAGGCCATTTCTCTTCGTTTTTCGTCCTCTGTTCTTTTCTTCATTTCTGCCATCCTCTGAAAACATTTAATCACAAAATAAAATTTCATGGGTGGTTTTTTTTGTGTGTAATTCCAGACAAACAAAATTCATGAAAGATTTCATAGAAAATTTAATATCAGAAAAAGTTATTAAGATTTTTAATGAGATATTTTTGTTTTTGTTTTAGTTAATAAACATAAATAAGTGTTTACTTTTGAACTGTAAATTTCTAATACAAATTCAATAAAATGTAGTTTGAAAGAAGCTATGATACATTTTGTTTTAATTGTCTGTCAACAATTTAATTTTTAAACACTTATTGATAAAGACAATTTTTCTTGTCTCATCAATTTAAACATCCAAACCTTTGCAGCTCTTTCTAAACTCCGCTCTTCCGAGAAACAGGGAATTCCACCATTTCGACGTCCCTCATACTTGCTGACAAAATGTGGGGCGTCTTTCTTCTGTGCTCGCATGTATTTCTCTAGATTAGCACTTGACTGCAAAACAAAAACAAATTGTAAGTACAACTACTTTCACAATTAATCATTTGAAATAAAAATCATTGACTTAAAAAGTGATTATTTTCTAGATTTATCTTTATTTTTATACTGATACATAACAACAACTTGAACTGGCTTTATCAAGGCTATATGCCGGCTTACTCTGACATAACATTTCCAAAAGAGTTCCGCTATGTTAGAAACCTTTTTTTTTTCAGTATGGACTTGACTTATGTACATCACTCTACTTTCATGTGTACTTTATTTTGTTAAATATGCCGGAAGATTTCATTACAATTTTTGAATTTGTAAGTAAATGGATACTTTTTCAATTTTGAAAGGTATTATTATATGAATCAATATTCACGGAAGATTTCTATTTGCAATTCATGAGTATCAAAATTACAAAAATTTAATTTAATTTGTGTGAGAATATAGTTATCAATTGATAAAAATAAATATTTCAAATATTTTATTTCATCGGCAAAGATGACTTTCTTTCTGTAAATATATTTGGAATTAAAAGTTAACACTGGGAATGAAAGATTTTGATGAAACTTATAACAAAATAATTCATAAGCATATTAAAAAAATAGAAATATACAAAAATGATAAGAAATAATTAAATTATTAAAAATTGCATGCAAAATAATGAAAATATCAAACTAATTAAAATCAGCATCCATTATATTTGAGCATGCTGACAAAAGTGACAACAACTTTACGAGATATGCTTATATATATAAAAACTGCAGTAACCAAATAGATAGAGATGTGTATTATAATGCATTCACATGTATTGGCTACCTTAGGTCTTATACAAGACCAAAATGGCATTGAACACACCCGCTTCAGCATCTGAAATATTTGTTCATAAAATCAAAATCTTTGATCAATGAACTTTTTTATTTCTAAATGTGAGAACATTTCGCGGACATGGTACTTTTTAATAAGACAATAATATCATCTAAATCTATTCGTTTTACAGAAATAATTTATATCTGAGGTCCTTGCATTCTGTCACAAATTTTCTGCAGAAAATGTGTGCAATGCTAAAATGCTAAATGCAGTGCTCACGATTTTTTCAAGAGATTTAATGTCAATTTTTTTTCCAACAAACCTCTTGATTTATGTAGACTACAACCCACTAGAACATTGTGTTGTTTAATTGTGCTGATGTGCAGTTCACAACAAATATTCTAATAGTGTTCCACAACAACACAACTGATGTATGGTGCTAATAAACACAGTTTAAGTTAAATGTTATGAAGATGTGACTTTGCTCTTGTTTGTAAAGTAAGCTTTGACTTTTTCAAGTAATCGATTGAAATTTATCAAACTGTGTCGTTATTGATATTAAGCAATTCACCTGAATCACATATTAACAAAAGATACTTTTTTAAAATTAATTCCTTTAAAATTAATTATTTAAAAAAATTACTAACCTAACGATGAAGCAGCTGAAATTTTATTTTCAGTTTCAAATTTGTGACAAAATTAACTGACTTTCAATGATTAAAATGTTCTAAGTTAAAAAAAAAAAAAAAAAAGTATGATCAATCAGAAATGTGACAAAAAAAATTGGCAAGACTAAAAAAGTTTTTGACCTTGTAGTCTGAAATGATCTGGCAGATATTGCAACGTTTTGATAAAGTAGTCGATACACACAAACTCTTGCATGGACACTGCTACAAGTGTGTACTGCAGACCTTTATTAGGTGGAACAGACACAGTGTGTCACGTGTGTATTTTGACATCCTCAAAATTTGAAGGGTTAGGCTCTCTTCAGTTCCCAGCACCCTTGGAATATCATGACAAAATTGATGACTGTATGCACCACTTTGTGGATGATACAATTAGACTAGTTTGATCCTTTGATATACATCAAAAGAATTTTGCAACATCGCAATGGTAAAATTGGTCATCTTTTAATTTAGATGTCACTCTTTTCTGTAATCTTCAAAGGACAGGTATATCATATATCAGTTGAGTGATTGTCACTCTTTTCTGTAATCTTCAAAGGACAGGTATATCAGCTGAGTGATTGGTCAGGTTTTTTCACCCGAAACAAATCAAATAGCTTACCGCCTGCCTTCGATTTCGTTCTGATATATCTCCGAGGTTCAGTATGTAAGTGAGCATACGTCATGAATTTCAAGAAAGGTTTTTGAAAGCATGTTTAGATATCACCACGACTCCAAGTAGTGTGCTCTACAACATGTTACGGTGCAGACATGGACACATCAACTGCTAAGTGTCGTCACTCGTTAAATCTGTAGGTAAACAACCAACCTTGGGTCTGCGAATACAGACAGACGGCTAAGGACAAGAATGGAAATGCGAAAATAACATTTTATGCTAAAATTAAAACACATCGATCTTTATTAATGAATAATGCATAAAATTGAAATATAAATTCAACAATCCTGAAAATCCTTAAAATTGCTATTATGTTATTATCTTAATATTTGAATACAACTTTAGAAAATATGAGGAAAGTTTTTTGTTTTTTTTTAAATATTTTCCAATTTAACTGAATTCTCAAATTTCGGTTAATAGAAAAAATGTGAATGATTCATATCTATAAACTGAAAAACATCAGATTGAAATCAAGAAAGGCCTGCGACCAAATATATTTCACTTATTTCTTAAATTTGTAAAATTTATAAATCCATTTTTTTGTTGAACATTTCAGACATTGAAACACCATATCCTGCTTGCATGGACTGGGTTGGGAAAACCTGTGGATTCACTTTAATTGTTAAAAGGCATCAAAACACTAGATTAATGAATATATGGTGCACTATATAGGTTGTGTGGTTGTATAGTAGTATAACATTAATTCATATAGTATGCTATAGAATTTATCTCAAAATGTACACAAGAAATATTGCATTAAGGAGAATCTGTAATAATAACACATGGTATGCTAATAAAATACTCAATTGAACTTTATTAGTTGGATACTGAAAATCTACAAAAAAACACACAAAAAAATGCTTCTAGATATATATTTAAAGATATATGCTATCTGCCTTTGAGAATGAAACCTCCTTGTAAAAGAGTTCAATTCACAGAAGTTGTTAGTATCAAAATGAACACTGAAAAGGTACTAAACAATGTAAAGACTTTTTATTCTAATGAACGGTTAATAATGATAAAAGTTAAGGGAAACAAGGGAGGTTACTCTATCAAAAATCATTTCTATAATGTATAAAGGATAGCAGCTATCCTTAAGGGAGATAACTCTATCACAAAATTAATTCCTGTCTTCTTAATCTGATCATATTTCTTGTTTCACTAAATTTTATAGGAAATCGGTTTTGAGCTGCCTCTGTACCAAAACTTTTTAACATTATGACGGGGAGTACTGCTGTTCCTTATAAGTTGCAAAACAAGACAGGTTTGCTCAGCTAAATTCAAACCCAGCAGCCTTAAAACACCTTTCACAACCACGCCTACTTTGGATTGCTCTTTGGATTTGCCCCTAAATTAGAAATATGAGCCCTTTTCCAGCTGGATAAAGGAATCTTAAATGATCAAAAGAGACTGAGAGATTGGCATTAATATTAAGCTGAATCAGGTTAGAGGTAGGTTCTCAATATATATCATATATTACTAAATTAATATAATATTTTAAGAATGAGAAATTGTAATCTATAATTTATGAATAGTTAAGAATGAATGCTTCCATACTGTATGTTTAGAGAAAAAGTATCTTTCATATATAAATTTCTAATGACCACAGATAACACAAAACTATGTTTATAAATTAAAAAACATTTAAACTTTAATGCACTTTTGCAAAATTTAAAAAAGCTAAAAAAAATATTAATGCAAGATATTAGTATCTGATCTAACAAGATCTAACAAAATATCAAATATGATGATTAGAAAATTGATTCCATATTAACCCCCAAAAATACCAACTTAATTAAATATCCATATAAATATATCTATGTAAATATTTGATAATTTGTGGAAGATAATTAAATGTATCAAAAGTTAAAGGAAATAAAAAAAATATCCATTGGGTCAAGAAAGATAGAAGTATTGATATATTGTGTCTTGATATATAAAGAAAACTACTCCTCATGAAGAGATCAAACAACTACAAGTGATTCAATCCAAATACAGTCTACTGCTTACCATACATTTGGAGCATTTGAAAGGTTCAAACTGCAATTAAAATCATCTCAAAATACTCTTTATTGAAACCTAAATAAGAACATAGGATTGGGTATGGAGAAAGTTTATTGTTCTCTGAGAATTATCCTTAAATGTCCTTTTCTTTCTCATGAGCATTGATTGACCAAGTGGAAGTCACAAATAGCGGTGGTGACTCTAACCTACCAGCATCACAGGGTATTTAAGACTATCAAATATTTTTTATTTGTATTGATGTTATTAATACCTCATCAATATATATGTGTAATTCATAAAATTTTGTTAAAATTATGAATATCCTGCAAAATTAATACAGCATATTTTATAGGAACCATGTGCAACAACACTCCTTAAAACGTTTGAAGACTCAATATTGTTTAATAATTGTTATATATTATTTCAATCTCGCAAAAAATGCCTAACAATTGTTTAACGAAAATAATGATGTTGCGGTGGATATTTACAATAGTTAACAATGGTGTACTTCTGTCATCATTTCAAAACAGGCCATATGAAAAACATAACTTCAAAAGAAACATAATTTTTATAACCACAGCTAATCACTATAGCCATAGATTTATCAGTCCTAAAAATACTAAATAATTCCTTTGCTCCAAAGTTTGACTGATATACGGAATTGTCTAACTACATTCTTTTACTAGATTATCTCCCCCTGTTTTTTTCAAATCTAGAATCAGACACCCAAAAATATTACAGTATCATAACTTCGTTTTTAAATAAAAGATTCCAGAGACGGGGGCCAGTCTACAGTAATAACAAGAATATTTTACTTGTTTCAACAATCCACTCGTCTTAATTTAACATCAATTATAAAAAAAAATACAGACAATACTGAGCTTATAAAGGAATAATTTTTATGTTGAATTTTACTATGTAAACTTCACTCAACTACTTGAGTAGGAATTAAAAACTTGAATTTCAACTATAAAGCTAAACAGCTGTATCTACCAGAACAGTCTTTTCTAAACAAACCAGAAATGCCAATAAACGTTTCATTCCATAACGTTTCAATTTAGAACACAAATGATTAAAATCTATGAATTACCTAAATCTACCACACAAGCTATCTTTGCAGACCTCTGAGTCATGTGCATTTCACTTAAAACCAGTGTGATTATTATCCAAGTCCACAAACACAGATTACGTGTAGCGCATGTTTGCCCGAAATTCAGCATATAAACACTGTAACACATCAGTTATATGTACATTTATCGTCCAGCTATCTGTTTTGTCATTGTACAATGATCTACCCAGCTGTATAATTTGGTACCCGCAGCATGCTGGGACGTATTTGATTGACAACGATTTTTGGGGAGAAACTAACTCGATAGAAAGCTCTCTGACTGTAATAGGTAACAGGACAGGACAGGCAATTTGTTACTTATATAGACACGGAATAACATAAGTCTGCTTAGAAGCATTGAATCCTGGAAATACAATTTCTGACTTGTCTGTAAACGATCCCTTTACTTTTTCAATTCTCAATCATACGTTTTTTTCTTCTCAAAGATATTTTCCCAAAACTACTAAATGTTACTGTTATTCCAGATCATTTATTCTGTGATTTCAAAATTTCTTAACAATCTTTGATTTTTTCCCCTCATTTGATTGTGGGAAACAGACTTGCTCTCAATGACATTTCTGCAGAGTGATATTCATCAAAGTGATAATCAATACTGTTACCATGGAAACAGGGTGCTGACCTTGATTTTTTTTAAATCTGAACATTTATCTTTGAGTAGAATGATTTTTCTTGAGTCCACAGATATATCCACATCACTGACTGTTAAAAATAATCTGAGTTTCTCCTCAGCCTCACCGTCCTTTTGACCAATGTTTGCACTTGTTCCGATGTGTGAATTATCAATTTTTGATGTCTGCCGCATTTAATATCGGAAGGTTCACCAGAATGTACAAATGTTTTCTACTTCTGGGGATCCCAGTCATACTGTATTGACATTTTGTTTGAGTACCCAATATTGCGAAATGGCAAAGTTTTCTCATTTCCATTGATTTTCTTGATCTTGAGGAAAGAATTTTCACTGCATGGACCCAAAGATCTAAAACTTGGACTGACTTCCGCAGTCGTCAACATGACATTCTGTGATCCAGAATATGGTTTTTGGTAACCAGAGAGGCCATCTTGGGATTACAATGGCAACTGTTTTGAACTTATATCAGCTGTCCTTTTAGACTGGTCCACTTTGATCAATCTTAGATGGGGAGGGATTGGGTACGATTTTACCATCTGTTTCAAATTTAATCCTTGTCCATTGTGCGTAGGCTTGTTAACGATAAGATTAATACAGCACATTTTTATGAATATCATGTTGATGTAAAAATATGTAAAGTTGTAGGCACAGGAATATAGTTGACACAAAAAATTGAAGACTTTATTGTTTTCCTCTATCAAATTCAACTTTGTCATTTGTTCCTATTCAAAAATGTACCACTCCATATTTAAGAAATAATAAAGAAGAAAATTGGTACTATTAATGATTTTATTGATTTAAACCTGACAAACTAAATTACTAGACACCACACAGGAAAACGTTAAGACGTACGTGCAGGAAATGACGGGTAGATTTTAACAGGTTAGATGTTGGTTGATTTCTGTGAGTGAACACAACACTGGGGCTCTAAACATCACGAACACACCTACACATCAACTATACTATAAATTATCTCCCCTTGTAAAGATTTTTTCCCTTGGTAAAGATTAGCTCCCTTGGTAAAGATTATCTCCCTTGGTAAAGAATATATCTCCATACAAAAGCAATCTACCTTTGTGATGATTATCCCCCTTTGTAAAGATAATCTCTTTGCCAATATGAAGGTCACCCCTTTTTAAAAATAATCTACATTTGAAAAGATTGTAAATCTTCCTTTGTAAATATAATTATATTTTTATAAGATTAACTCCATTTGGAGACATCATCTCATTTTTTCTTTAGATTTGTCTCTCTATGTTAAGATTATTTCCCATTTTTTTTTTTTTTATGGAATGTGCATTTCAATTTTTGTACCAAAGTTAATTGTCTGCTAATTTGAATGTCAAAATCTTAGTTAAAAAAAATATCACCACTTTACAAGACATTTTACATACGTTCATGATTGGAAACCATCTGTATTAGGGGTGTCACAATACGCCAAGAATGTATCATGATATATTGCAATACAGAATGAATATATTGCGATATGTATCCCAATATATTGTCATAGGAAGGATGTGCTCAATTTCATAATAAGTTGTTGTCAGAATGTTATCAAACTTAATCATATATAATATGGATCACATAGATTAAAGATTTTTGTCAAACCAACCATCGATTACACAATTTGAACTAATTCCCACCACTATTAAAAGCCTGCTTTTTGCTTATTGGAATATCTGTTAGAATTTGTAGTAATTTGCGCAGATACATAAAAATAAGCTTTTGAAAAATATTGCGATAAAGCAATGTTTCATCTCTGTATTGTGGTACGATACGATATACCTGTGTATTGCGTTATACCTGTTTACTGATATATTGTGACAGCCCTTATCTGTATTATATGTCATTTCTTGTGTGTGTGTGTGCTCTTTATAACCTAACAAACAACAACCCCTGCTGACATTGAAGTAATCCCTCAACTATCTTCTTCTTGAATATGATTTTACAATATGCACATTCTTACAGGCATTCAAATTTTGAGTTTAAGAAAAAAAGCTGTATTTGATTTTGCTCCGGTTTCTAAGGCAACACCTAACACAGACTTACCTGCTTTTTTTGATTGACAGAGTGACCCAGGTTGTCGTGAAGTGCATCAGAACAAGTAATAGTGGGCAATGCCTGTAGGTTAAAAAGCCAATGGGGTCAAAGGTCAAAGGTCAAAATCATGAATATGCAAATAACCACATGCAAATTAATATAAAACAACAAAAGTAGATAGTGCTAATTATTAAAAAACATGCTTTGTAAATATTAGAATAAATCAAAGTATTGATGTGGTGCATTGTTTTAATGCAAGGAAATCCTGAGAAAATTCAGGTACAGTGAAAAAACCTGTTTAGAAAAGTAATTTTCCCTAGGGTGGTAAAGGTGATTTCTGGGCACTCAGACAGGTATGTTTTCTTTGTAACTTGTAATTTTGGGGGCATTTTGGGCATGGATGCTAGGACAGATACCTTTCTGGACACAAGGACAGACAATTTAGTCTAGAAACAAGAACAATTAATTATGTCAGAACGTTGTAGTTCAGGAAAACTTCTGGATGCTTCGGACAGATATGTTGTCCTGATCAAGGCCAAGTTTTTCTATGCTTGATAAGCGTATCCTTCTTTATTACATTAGTATATTTTCAAATTTGTCAATTTTCATATATTTCTCAAAAGTAATGCATTGAAACTCTGCATTAGTAACTCGGAATTTGACCAATGAGGCCCTGAATGCTAGGACTGTAAGCTAATGGCTGTTCCGATAAACGAGTTTGACAGTATCTTGACTGAAATCATGACACTCTGGTTGTGTTAATATAACTAATTTATGGTTATTTGTAGCATTTATCTTACAGAAATATTCCTAATTCTAGGTCAATAGTCCTCAAATGTGCAATACAATTGGGGGAAAAAACTTGCTCTATTGCCACAATAATTCTAATGAAATGTTGTCATTATGATAGGATTTTTGAGATATACTGAAGAGGACTTAAAATTAATTATAGAAATTTAGACCATGACATATGTTGGCAGTGACAGAGATATCAAATGAAATATTTTTTTACTCTACAAATTCATATTGTACATCTTTATATTATCTTGGGTAGGGGTATAGAGGGGGTTATTAATGTCCTTAACTCATTCACCCCTGAAATTTCATAATGAACTATTCCAGCCTTTGAATTGGAAGAGTTCAAATGTGTCTTCAGGGGTGAATGAGTTTATATTTTTGTATGCATGTACAACTACTTTTATTAGCTTCAGAACTAGTCACCAAACTTTGTCAACATTTCTGTGTTATACTTCAAATCAAAAGTCTACATCTTTGAAATATGCAAAACCTTCTTTTTATATAATGTATCACAACGCCACTATTAGATCGACAGCTGTTGAACACTATCCTATTATTACAATGATTTCTTGACAAACAATAAAACATATAATGAAGCACATGTATCTATATGCAACTTTTGAAAATCACTAAGAAAACCAATTTTTCAAAAAAAAAAAAAGCAAGCTCAGAAATGTATCCAGCCATCTTGAATAAAAAAAAATAAGAAATATTTTCATTCCAACTTAAGATAAACACACAAGGACTCAATGCAGGAAGGGTAGCGAACATGCTTGATGCCAACAAATTTAAGCCAATCAAAAATAAGATAACAAAACGAAGCAAGCAGCTTCAATAAGCCAAGAGAATTGCAAGTGACAGGAAAATCTAATACTTTAATACTGCAACATAGCTTGATTTAATATTAAATTTGAAACAAGTATAAATATTACCTTTAAAAAAATCATTTTAAAATGATATCATAACATTGAACTCTTCTTTTAATTTGATAATTAAAATCAAAAAATTTTGATAGAAATATGGGTAACAAATTATGTCTACACATTACCTAAAACATTTCTACACTTTATTCATGTCATCAAAATCTAAAATTTATAAAAAAAAAAAAAAGGTTAATGAGATTGTGAGTGAAATGGGTTCAAATTCATGAAATTTTAGCAATCTGAACTGTTGAAATGTGTAGAAGTTCGATCGTTAAAGGATGAGTGTCAAAAAGGCCCTTTTTTAAGGCCCTGGTATATTCCGATATTCACCTCCTTAACTTGTTCAAAAATCTCCTATTGCATTGCATGCGGAAAAACTAAGGTAAAAGTTTGACCGAAAGTGGGATTTTTGGGGGGCCCAAAAAAGGGCCTTATAGACACTCATCCTTTCTTATATATTTTGGTTCATAAGCCATAAAATGCTAGAAATTTTCACTTTATTTGATTGAAATTAGGTGAAATTAATATTTTATAAAAAACAAATGAAGCTTTAGTTATTAAAGATCCACTTTTATGACTAGAAATTCTATGAAAACTGGTGTGAGGGTCATAAAGCTGTTAAAATCAGTATACTGCTGGTCGTGGTACTCTTATCATGCAAGTGAAATGGTTGAGCTATATATACTAATGCTGTATCTATACATTAGAATTAGGCCTAAGTGGTGAACGATCTAGTCACTGAGGTCGATCACTTCCCAAGCTGGAATTTCATGTTCACTCATTCTGTAGATTAGTTGGGTGGTTCAAAGTGACGGTGTCACATCGGAGGCCTGGGTTTGATTCCCCGACTGGACGCGAAAATGTATGGGGTCATCTGCCCGACCATGTGGGCTTTCTCTGGGTACTCCGGTTTCCTCCCACATTAAGACTCCTCCCCCCGTCTGCATTCATCCAGGCCAACAAGAGTGATTTATATAAGTGAAACAACTTGTTTCACAATTGTTGTAAAATAAATAAAGTTGATTTTAATTAGTTGGACTAGTAAACTAGTAATCTGAAGTGCTGTGATAGATTCCTGGTGAAATACATTTGACAGAGACCTAGCTCAGCCACACTTAGACCATTTCCCCACCTCCGACTGCTTTGTCTGCGATTTTATTTGTACATGACTTCTCTATCCACCCTGTACCATAGGGTATACACAAACTTCACGCATGCTGGACAGTCAGTGTAAGGGCTACGTGTCTCACCCTGGTAAAATTTTACCCACTTCCTATTGACTAGGCTGTGAAGAACTTCTTTTGAACTCATTACGTCACCATCAGACTAGTAAACCAAAGGTCCCTAGTTCAGGCTAACTCATGTAATTGTAATGTCACAATTGTGCTCCTGGGAGGTATTGACAAAAAGTACCAAACCTTAGAAAAGGAAGGAAAATTTATTTGGCAGGCCATCAGATCCGAGATTCCAGGATCAACCCTTAGCAGAGGTGTTGAACAATATTGACCTCTGTTAAACAATTGTTCTCCACTTTAGGAGCTAAACTAGCAGTTAAGGGGTCTTAAATTACCAACAGCAAACTGGCTACTATTTGTCTTGGTCTTAAATTTGGGAAAGATTTTATTAACTTCTACTGAATAAAACAAATCATGAAGTAATACATTAAATATTTTTTAAAATACAATTTAGTGAAAAAACAATTAAAATCATTTTAAACATTATATCTTTATTTCCTTTCTTATTCCATTCCTAACTAAATTTTGTTAATACTTTTCTGTTTATGAAATTGTTAACAAAACCGATGACCTATTCCACAATTTTTAATGAACATTAGTTTTCATAATCCTGTTAATGGTTTTTGAGTTATGTCCCTTTACATTAGTTTTCATAATCCTGTTTCTTGTTTCTCAGTTATGTCCCCTTATTCCTGTTAATTTTCCTGCAAAGGTTTCAATTTCTCAAGTACTATATAATATCCATCCCATATTAATTAAAACCAAAGCGAGTCAGTTACAATAAAAATATTCCAAATTATCTCCCCTTGGTACCACTGTGAGTCTTGTTTTATCACACAGGATTAAGACAGGGTTTGCCCTTTGACCATTCAAGTTCTGTATTTTGATCTCAATGATTCAACACCATATATGGTCACTTGAGCAGCACAACCAATCAAAATGCTTCGAATCCTGACTTACAGCATTACAGGATAGATTTGATTTTGGTTCAAAATTTAGTGATAGGTTCAAATAAAAATAAAATCAGTCTAAAAAAAACCCACTCTTTTTAACTGATTCACCCCTGAAATTTCATAATGAACTATTCCAACTTTTGAATTGGAAGAGGTCAAATGTGTTTTCATGGGTGAATGAGTTAAATTACTTCAGTACTTCTAAAAAACATGTATACAAGAAGTTGAAATATCACTGCTATTACTGAAGAAGGTTTAAATGAACAAGAGGCCCATGGGCCTTAACGGTCACCTGATATATTTATACAGAGAGTTGATTTTTGTTTTTAACATGAACAGAAATATTATTCAAAGTGACAAAAAACAATAAAACCACTTTATTCAATATCTAGCATGCAGATTTAAGACTGAAAAGTATTTGAAACTAGCACCTCTGATTCTAAACAAGGAAAATGAAGAAATTTTATTTTAGCACACAGACTCCATTGGGCC